TCAATAGTTTTATATCCCATGTTCTATTGCACATCTAACAATCTCGCCATCGACTAGAATTCTCTACTACCTTACCCGTACAACCCCCAGTTTCAATATCCCCGACTAGTAACTTCAATTTGTACTCTGTTGCATATCTGATTATCTTGGCGTTGATTTAGCTTCTGTGTTGGTTTTTTAAAATGTTGCATGTCTAATGGTCTTGGCATTTATTTAGCTTTTGTATCATTACATAACAGATCTCAATACCATGTCCTTAGTTTCGGTATCCCGAGGACTATGTTATTGAGTTCGCTCTTGATATCGTCATTTTTGTACTGTAGTGTATGTAAAAGTTGATGAAGTTATTTTATGTTTCTGGATTTAGTAATCTTTCATGTCGCATGTCGAGTTTTCTAATGGCTATTATGAAGATTCAAAACGAAAGCCACAGGATGAATGGATACAGTAGTAGATCATTAGTACTCATTTCATATTATCGTTCCATTGAGTATTAGTGCTACACGTCATTAGAAAACTTGATCTGATAAACATTTATTGCTATAAATTTAAGCTTCCGCTTGGATTTACAGTTTGCAGCTGGTGATACTGATTGGATCAAGATCGGCCCTTGCCGTCTTCAGACCGTGAGGTAAACTGGGGGACTAAACCTTATTTCCAGTATGTTTACTATGTTTGACAGGTGTAGAGTTTTATAGTTTGTTTGTTTAATGGCACAGCGGTTAGAGATAATGTAGATTATGATTACGCTCTGTGATTAGTATGTATGGAGGTTATATGGCAAGCTCTATGACACCGCAGTGAAAAAGATTGCTGAAGTAGAACGGGTTATGATGTTAGAGTATGTCAACCTCCTTAAATTCTTGAGCATGGGATCTTTGATCTTCTTCAGCGTTGATCTGAAGATCAATTTCGCGTATATAGTTTGATCATGAGGATATAAACAGAACTTGATCTGACTGATATTCGTTGGACTATTTCAGCTTCGCCTTATGACGGAGGCTTAAGTTTGCCGGGAAGCTTTATTGACATGTCAATATAAACTTTCCTACTGTGTATATCCTTCCAGAATATACTTATCAGATATAAGAGCTCCATCATGTACTGGGGATCTTCTCAGGTGTAAGTCACATATTGTTATGGTCTTATATTTGAGGAGCCTAAATTATCTGTGTAGAGATGATAGATTGATGAGAACGGAACATTATTATGATTATTAAAGGTAAATAGCAAGATGATCAACATCTAGTTCATAAATTCACATAGAATAATTGAGGAAGTATCATCCGAATTTACCAGATATAGTTTGGTTGCTAGGTAAAGATTTGGTGGTTGCCATGAGACCAAAAAAGTCTATCGTCGGCGCCAAATTTAGAAAACCTTTAGTGATGTCAACAACATTGACAGCTGCCACCTAGTAGATCACCCGATTATAGCGTTGTTTGTCTTTCGAGTCTTTCATACTCACCTCGCTGTCTTCTTCTCTTTCTTCTTCTCTCTCCGTCGTATGCGCTTTTGATTATTTTGATTTTTTCAACCTAATTATTTTACTGCATACTCTGACTTCTCACGGCTTTTATCTTTGAGCTACCAACTCATCGATACCCATCTATTTACCAACCTCTTACCTCTTACCTCGTACCTCACTTTATACTCTCAATCTACGTCGGCGTGCCGATTACCGTTCTAACATCAATCGTTGCAATGTCCTTCACAGATATCCTCACCTTCGTAGGCACAGCCCTTGTGGTTGCTGTCTGCTTTTACATAATCAACAACCCAATTGATACCGAGGTTGCAACTGTTGTCACCCAGATTGCCCCTCTTCTACCTATCATCAACTGCCCAGTTGTTATCGAGGCTGCACCTGTTGTCATCCAGGCTGCTCCTCTTCTACCTAAAATCAAGGTGCTTCCAAAGCCCCAAGCAGCCCAACTCGTTGCTTCTCCTTCTGTAAAGAAGAGAAACAGAGTTGAAGAGCTTGTTGGTTCATCCGTGGTTGCACCTTCTTCTCCAGGGAAGAAGAGAAAGACTTTTGTTAGATCGTCTTCTCCTTCTGTCTCGGAGGAAAAACCAACTTATAGAAGATCTTCTCGTCAAACACCCAAGGTCACTATTAGTTTGTCTTCTGTTGCTGGCGCGCAACTTCTCAAAGCCATCCAATCTGCCATCCCTCCCCCGGCTGATATTGTTCCAACTGAAGTTGCGTCGGCATATGCCGAAATCTCTGAAGTTGTTTCAATGGAAGTCGAGATGACAGATGCCCCAAAGATCTCTCAGCTGAAGTCCTGCTTCAAGAGCTCCTCTAATCGCTTTGCGAAAAGAGTTCGCTTTGTAGGACCAAGCAACGATTGTATCCGTGGTCAGATTGCCACTTACGTGGTTAAGAAGGACATGGAGTGCTTTCGTGAGAGATTCGCAGGGGCTAGGTCGATGCCCCACGAGAGCTTTCCTCTTATTGAGGAGATGGATCAGCAAGGCAACCCTACTGGATGGTTTTCTAAACGGGATAGTTTTTTCTATCCCCCAGAAGAACAGAGTAGATGGGACCGCTGCAAAGAGCACACACTGTGCAGACAGTGCAGAGAGAGTGTGATTGAAGGATTTTGCGATCCTGAAGTCGATTTCTCTGATGATGTGCTCGAGTCAGATGATCCCAATGCTCTAGTTCATCATGTCCAAAGGGACCAATATAGTCGATACAACTGCATCCTTCATGGTGGGAATTGATGCACTGTATCTGCTATTAACTACTAACCTGTGACCTGACCTTGGCCTTTCTTGGAATCCCCGGACTGAAGGTTAGTATCCTTTTCTTTTGTTTCATCCAAAATAGATGTGCCTAATAAGCCATCGCCAAAAAAATATTAAAATAAAGGCCTTGTTGGAATGGATTCTTGGATTGGTACCCCAATTATCTATCTTTCAAGGTATCACAAAACAATCACCAAAAAAGCGAACATCGCATCTTGTATATATTTATTTCCTTTGTCGTTATTTGGGGGATATGGGGGACTGGGGAGGGGGAGTTTTTCTTTTAATGGGATTAAAAATCCCATCTTGCCTTACTTTTGCTCGTTAATGGTTTACAGATTAGAGACATGCGAGCTGTGGTCGCTCGACTTTAGATCATAACTTTCGGAATGATTGGTTAGTTCAACTCCACTCTCTTTTGACATCTAAGTCAGTTGCTAATCACTTTGAAGTATCCCCAACGCGAACCCACGAACCATCGACGATTCCCCAATCCCAACGCCTACGACGATCGACTACGGCTTCACCACCATATTCCAGGAAAGGTTTCAGGTCACAGGTTAGATTATTATATTATCATATTAAATGATTCACATCACACCACGTCTCTACTTCTCACACACACCACTTCGTTGGTCAAGGCAGAATGCGCCCTCTGCTGCTCTCGAGACGACAAGCAGAGATTCTTTCTTGATCAACATTCGCCCACACCACCTTCACCAATTTGTTGTTCTACAACATCTTGAATTCGACCTCGCATCCACTTCGAACTTGCACATAATGGAGAATCTTTTAGGATCTCCAACGCATTCGATGGATCTATACTGTGCCCGTCCAGTTACTCGACGGGATTATTTTGACACACTTGACTCTTGTGGGAACGCTTGTCGAACACTTTTGCTTCGGTGATCTGTTCATGCTATACCCCTCGGTCTTGTGCTGTCTTGCTTTTCACTTCTTTTAGGAAGTGTTTTGGCGATATCTCCTTGGTTGAAGCTTTTCACTTCTATTAGGTTGTGATTTGGCGATATCCACTTGGCTTGGTTGGGTTCAGGACAGTCTCATTGGAAGCTCACTCGATGGGGCTTCATGAGAGCTCGTCAGGGGGAGGGAAAATGGTTCAATTCGATAAGTATATCCACTCGTCTAACTTCTAATTTGTCTATAGGGCGGCTAGCTTTGATCACACGTCCTCGTTCGTGCTAGCTGGGAACCCTCAAATGAGAAGCTAAGTGATCTAATCGATACGTTGAATTTTCGACATCAAATTTAGCCAGAGTAAGTGTGGGTTCCCTTTTCATGCTGGATACATTGCTAACTTCTTGACAGAAGATTCTGGATTCCTGTATGATGGAAATGTGTGAATTTCAATATTCGAGAAGGATTTATATTTTCAAGGACTGATAGTGGAGAATTTTCTGGCTTTAAGATATCGTGGTGTATATATTGGTAACAAAATGAATGTAAATTGTCTCATCTTTTTCTCAAATATGATATCGCTCAACATCTCTTTTTATGATTTTGAGCAAACACACTCTACATAAAATTCTCCATTGCACCGATTAATTGACTAGAAATCTAGAGTTAATAAATCTTAGACAAATGAAGTATATCGGTATGAGATGGTAGAAGATAATATCTGAAGTCAACAGAAGAATACAAAAGCCTTGGAAAGCGCAAATTGATATGCAAAGTAAGTATTTGGGATAGGACTTCAATTAAGTTTCAAGGTTATCAGAGACAGGAAGCTGTTTGAATTGCCCTTTTCCAGAACTTCTCCGTTGGACTAGATAGGAAGAGATATGGACTGCACAACTTATCGTACTTGCTCCTTCCGTATTCCAATACCAAAAGACATCAACTCTACCAAAGCCATAGCACACCTCTTCAACGCCATACACAAAACAATACAACTACAAACTCATAAAACAATATATTCTAAGTAAATACCCAGTCCTTTCACGAAAATAGATCTAAGCTTTTACATGGTTTTCGCTCTCTCATTACCATTCCGTGTTTTACAATTCTTCGACTTCCTTATGTGGAGCTTCATCTCTTTTATTCTTATTGACCGGTTACCGATAGACGAACCGATTACATCTCTCGAGCTGGAAATACTTGCGAGTATTGGTATTGCCATTCTGGTTTTGGGTTTGAGTTTCGTCCCCGTGGTGAAAGTTGGGGTAGTCGAGGGAGAAATTGGTTTGTGAGATCTCATCATCACAAAACAGATCGACGATCGAAAGATGGATTCTGGCGATATTGATCGAGCGCCGCTGGACGATGGAATGTTTCCAAATGATGAAGCTCCCCGAGATAGCCGAATCTGCGACAATGACAGATTGAATGAACGAGGCCGCTCGATCGCTAAAGAATGTGAAGATCTCGAAGTCCAGAAAGCGGAATTCAAGAAGCTACAAGAGGACCATAGAAGACGAGTCTATGAATTCGAAGAGGCAAAAGTAGAATTTGAAGACAAGGTATTGGTACATAAAACGCAAGTACATCAGATCGTAACTAACGCCTCCGGAAAGCTACGAACTTTCCACAAGACGGAATTAGAGAACGACAGAAAGCTAGAGTTACTCAGAGCCGAGCAATACAAATTCAACACAGCGGTCAAGGAGTTCAACAAGAGACTAGAGAAAACCAGAGAGGCGACAACACGTTTCAATGAGAAGAGTGAGACGTTGAGAGGAAAGTTGATGGCAGCTAAACGCAGGGAAAAGTCTTTTCTTAGAGAATACAAATCCAAGCAGAGATATTTGGTGGAGAGAGAACAGAGGCTTGATGCGAAGGTAAGCCTACTTGATTCTCATTGATAGTAAAAGAGCCGATTGTGACCTTTTGATCACACGATTTGGCCTTTCTCGAATGTTCGAACAAGCGTTCTGTTTGAGGTTGAGTCATTACGAGAACATCACGGCATTGACTTTTAAAATCATTACATATGTTCACGAACCAACCATCTCAGATAGTAAAATGCTTACACCCATCACTACAGCTCAAAAGCCTTGGAATAGAGGAAAAGTTTCTTGATCCAGATAGAGAAACATACGAATATTTGCCAAGCGTTCTTTCAGAAAGACAGGAAGAAAGAGAGGAATTGAGAGACAGTATAAAAGCGGAAAATGAAGCCTCAGTTTCAAGAGAGGGTTGAGAGATCAGGGCAAGCAAATTCAGCGAATTAAAAAAACTATCAAGTTATCTCAGTATAGGCTCATTGGAGAAATAGCATTTTGAGACAGCGTTTTTCAAAGTTTCAGAAAGTATTGCCACAATGAGAAATGATTAACATTTCAATCGGTGATTGCAGGTTGATGGTATTCTGAAAATTGAAAATCACAGAAACGAGAAATCCAATGGCGGGAGATAGAATGGGCGGACTGTCTTGAGAGGAAACTCGTGTTGATGTTGATGTATACAATGTTATCACAGATTGCGATCTTGAGGTCGCGAAAAAGAAACGTACACTGATTTTCACTATCCCGGATCCGGGAAAATCTCTCTGGGAGTAAATGCTCGGGCTGAATAGTAATTCTAAATGGTAAGTGAGCTATTGAATATCTACCACTTCACTCTACCTTCTTACAACATCCTGCGCATCTCCATTCTCTGTAACATACCAAGAATAACTAATCTCTGCCTTGATAAACTATCTGATAGTTGTTTGCAACGCGCATCAAGGATCTAGGGCGCCATGTACTTATTCAGCTGCTAGCTTTTTGAACTGCTACAAAAAAGAAATGAAGTGAAGCAAGCTGTAATACATGCAATCATAGTATCTTCTCCAAGATCTGTTCGCGAGTAAAATTTGTATTCAGATATCTCGAAACGTAATCATCACGATTAACTGTGTCTTGTTAGTATCTTTGATTACACAAGAAAAGATGTATGTGAAAGAAATTCAACTCACTGTATCCACCACATATACGTCTTTTACCTGTAAACTCTGATCTTCCATGAAGAACTCTCCAATTATCGAAAACTGTTGCTCGAGTATTAGTCATCGGGAACTTCATTAACGAATAGTTGATATACTCACTCAAAGCACGTCCAGGTACAAGTTGCGACCAATACTGTAGCTTTGGATCATTAACCCGATCATTATATGCTTTCGCCGCCTCATACCACTCCTGAGAGTATCCAGGATGAATCGTTCCCCTATCTGCCTCGTTCCACCTAACCTGCGACGCAGCACGATTTTTATTCATGGTAAGAACAGGGTATGGCCTATTTGGAGTGATATTAATGCCATCATTACCACTAGCATGCCAAGGAACTGATATCTTTGATAAAGCATCTTTGTGGCGACTACGAAGTAAGCGAGCGGCCCAGAAGCCGTCAACAAGAAGAGATTCACCACCAGTACCTTCAGTATGAGAAAGAAGATGAAACATCTGGAGGCCAGCGGGATCGGTGAAATAGGTTGTATCGGTGTGAGGACCAATGGCTTCACTAGTGTATGCGGTGTCTTTCATTGTAAGATCGGATGTGAAATCGTAAAATCCACCTACGTGTGTTAGTCAATGTGTAATGATTATTTGTATTACAGCGGCTGGGTTTTACCATAATGCGTTGGCCGAATAAAGGCAATGCGTTCCAGAAGCTCCTGAGTCTTTTCGGGAGATACTGGAACCCCATCTACGAAACAGAAGCCATAGTTGTGCTGAATAAAATTAGCAATGGATTATGTATGAGCTCAGAGTAAGTTGAAGATTTACAATCATGCGTGTCCACTTTCCTACGCCAGTTTCACTTGCCATAACTTCTTCATAGTTGACAGTAGGTGGATTCTTCCCGATAAGCGAATCCCAAAGAACAACTTCATGACTACTACAAAAGATGTCAGAAAATCGTTGAATATGATGATTGGGATGAAATTACTCTGGGTCAGGCATGGGAACTTCCACTTCTGCTGAATTATCTCCTCCCCGAGTCCCACTGACAATTGAAGCTTTAGGAGACTGGAACTTTGTTGCGTCGCGGTAAACCTGATGTTTGTGGAGCCACTCCCATGGGTAAACAGTAACATGATCTGACTTAACATCATTATCTGTACCATCCAGCCCTGTGGAGTGTTAGCAATGAGAAGAAATGCAGAAAAAAGTGCGTACATGTTACTTCAAGGCCCTCCTTCTTGGCCTTGTTGATAGAATCCGGTAGAACTTTGAGGTCAGACTAATGAGTTGTCAGACCATAGCTCATAACGGTCATTGGGGTATTTACCGAGAAAATGTCTACTTCTCGCTGCATAGTATCAGGACGTCTGCACTTGGCACAACGACAATTGTCTCTAGGATATGATCAGAGTAATTCTCAAGAAGAAAATACATCGAATGTTTATTCATATCCTGTCATTTCTTACCTCAGCCATCGACGCGGACTATAAACATATTAGCGCCCGAAACCAGGAACAAACTTGAATGAGTGAACCTACACAGAATCCGGCCCTTCAGCAAAATTAATTGGCATGAATGCTCCATTATCGAGCAAACGAAGATTCTCTCGATAACCTTTTCCTAATTTTGGATGAACGATCTCTTCCCCTAGATCAGCGGCCGAGTTTATCAACTCTTGGTTTGCCTTTTCCTGAGCAGAAAGCTCAGTACTGAGGAGAGGCCGTATAAAGGTTGGAGGCCGAGTTTTCTTTCGCAAAGGGACAGGTGGGCCGTGGGAGGCATTGAAAACAAACTGGCCATTGGAACGCTTATATGAAGAGTACGCATTGTCTTGAACTTCAGGTGAACGCGAAGTAGAAGTTTGGGAATACAGACCCTTTGTACGCGTGTTGTCTTCAACTTTTGTTGATAAAGTGGGATCATGACTTATCTTAGGTCCACTACTGTAACAGCGACGAGGAGCCAAACGACTGACTCGTTGGGCCCGGATGATGGAGCGATACATGTTGGCAAAGTTTCTAGTTGCTTTATATCATGATAGTTCCACGGAATATCGTTGTCAAAATGGATTTCCTCGAAGCTCTCATCTTGTCATATACCTTGAATGTGTTCCGGTGCCCACCATTGCCTCGGCTCAGATTGCCGTGTGATAGGAATATGGTACTTGATAGGTAGCAGAATTGACATGTCACATCTGGATGTTTATCTTTTGATGGACAGCAATAGAAGTCTTGTTAGATTCCTCTACATTTATGCTATTTTAATAAATGATCTGTAATTATTAAAAGTCCCTGCCTGCAAGTATTCCGATAGATGCACAACGTTCAGCCAGCCAATGAACGGAATAAAGTATTTCCAGTACCCCTGCCCCAAGCTCCCACCTCATAAATAATAGATATGAACCTCCTTCCTATCGATAATCTCACAATTCCACCATGCGCCATAACCACTCTCACTAAATTTTCCAAAAATTCACCATGTCTTCCGAAGACGCCCGCTATCGTACTTCGACTCAATATCGTCACTGGTCATACACACCGTCCGCCCTCCGTTCCCTGCGCGAAAGCACAAATGCCTTAGCCACAACCCAAGTTCGAGATGCCGTTCGACGTGCCAGAGAAGCTCGTGCTGCATCCTCAAATGATAATAGTGAAGCAGAGAACAGCAGGTCTGCTAGCACTGCTCTACCGGATGGAGATGTGGATTGTTTGACGGTGGATGAGGAATTGAAGTTGTTGGATTATTACTGTAGACAAACGCTACAGCTGGGAGACCATTTGGGTGTGCCGATTGAGGTCAAGGTATGTTCTTCTCTTGCGGAGATTCTTTGCTTTTAGTTGACCGGCCACTTTTCCATACGGAATGGTGGTAATGTCTGCCGAATCGCAATATGCGCAACTTGTCTTTGCTCAAAGCATCCCTAACATCTTTTTCCACTCTAGGCCACAGCAATCCAATACATCCGGCGTTTCTACATAAGTCACAGCCTAATGACCTACACCCCCACGACCATCCTAAAAACCGCCCTTTTCTTCGCCACCAAAACTGAAAATCACTATTTCCGTATCACCAGATTCGCAAGCGACATAGGCAAAACCACCACCGAAGAGATTCTCTCCTCAGAATTCCTTCTAACCCAAGGCCTCCGTTTCCAATTCGACATCCGCCACCCCTACCGCGGTCTCGAAGGAGCCGTCATGGAACTCCTCGCCATCTCCACCCACAAAATATCCATCCCCGCAGAATTGGAATCCCAACGCCCCGAAAACATGCACAATTTAATACTAGAAAGCCATGGACACGCACGCCATTATCTCAAAACAAGTGCGCTATTATGCGATTCCTATTTCCACTATACGCCCTCACAAATAATGTTCGCATCTCTCTATCTCGCTTCCGCCCCTTTAACTACCTTCTACCTCGCTCTGAAATTCTACAATCCCTCGAATCCGGATACAAACACCGCAACATCAACCTACCAAAAACTTCTCACCTTGATAAAAAATCTCGCTCAAATACTCTCCTCAATCCCCGAGGAACAAACTCCCGAACAAAGACAAGAAATCCAAGCCTTAGTCAAGAAATTGAAGAAATGCAGAAATCCCGAAAAAGCAGATCTAGTTGGACTACAAAAAATGAAAAGGGAAGGAGTAGAAGGCAAAGATGGAGAAGATGATGAGAAGATTATCAAGAAGAGAAAGATGGAGCGAGAGCAGAGGCTAAAAGAAGAGCATGATTTATTTGGCGGGAGTCTGAAATGATCATCTATCAATGCGGAATACTATAATAGGTTGGGTGTAAATAAAATTCTAGCGGGGTTGGCGTTATCCGAGCTGGTTACAATGGAAAGGGTTGGTGCATATGGAAGAGGGGCGTTCATTGGAAGATTTAGTGCTACATGGTATCATCTCTGCCCAGAAGGCCATATTTAGGATGATTTGTGCTAGAATCAAGTTCAAGGAACAACATCATGATAATATTGAAAAGGAAATTTTCATTCATTCGTTGATTTGTTAAAAAGTATCTTCTCTAGCTATTGATTTCCACCCTCAGATTCTTTCGTGCATGTCCATTCCGCCCGCTATGATAAAAGCAGTTCATATCTGATATTGTGTTCGCAAATAATAAGTAAGTAATATCCTATTCTCCATCAATCCCCATCCATCTCCATCGAAAAAAAAAGTAAATAAAAGAAGGAAAAATAATAACGATACTTAGCAAGATAGATGAATAATAAGCAAAAGATGTGGCGGCTCTTGTTCGCGTTGGAATATTCACAGGATGAAGATACCAACTCGCACGAGTGGCTTCCAACCATCAGAATCCCTCCGCAATGCGAAGCAAGCCCATCATTCTTTTCGACCCTCGCACTCATTCTAGTAATTTGCATCGTCTCCAATTTTTGCTCTAATCCTCAATGATGACCACTTGTGCTTCAGCCCATGGCAACTCAAGTTCAAGGACCTCGGTGCAAGTGAGATATTCGATTTCATCAGCATTCCCACCGGTATCACCCATCAACTCGTTGATCAACAAACCCTTGACGTTCTCCGAGGCATATTTCTTTAGTATATTCAACTGCAACTCAACCTGGTCTTTCTCCCAATGCCCCCATTCTCTGGTCTCTGAGCCGGCTCTGAATGGTTCAATCATTGTCATAACATCGTCGATATTTAGATACGCATCCCCACCTTGAGCAATAAGTCTATACATAGTCTTCTCCACGCAGCGATTTTCATGTAGTCGAACCATCTTGCATTGGCGCAACTGTTGAGAGAACCAATCATGCCAGATCTGCACAATGATCCACATGTCAAAGGTCGATTTATTTAGATTATTGATGCTAACTCTCACATTTTCCTTCACGAGACAGCTCTGGAAAAGTGCATCATTGACCTTGAATCTCATGTCTTGGAGATCGTCGACTTTCTTTTGAATGACGCTGCCAAGATCGGGACCCATTCGATTCTCCTTAGTGAGCCATGGCCAGGAGGGGTATTGTCCTACGATGTGAATGAGGGCTTCCTTGAAGATGGGAGCGCATTGGAGCTTGTATGCCAAAAGCAGGAAATGAGGAGGGTTGCGACGAATGGATGCGTATAGGCTACGTCCTAGGGAAAGGAGAGATGCAACTATGTAAGGTCTGACAACCTTCGCTGAGTCATAGAGATTGGCGATTTTGATTAACAACATGGACTGTTTTGCTGCAGCTGTAACATTCGTTGTTGAAATGGTAGGAGGACAACCGAAGTAGCATAGAAAAAGGGAGCGGTAAGCATCGAGGATTGTTTGCTCAACTTTTAGAGGGGCTAGCTTTTGACATGTTACATTGTTGATTGTCTTTTCTGTGGTGGGAATGACTGTCTGTTCAACAACATAATTGTTAGACGGTTCTTTGACAAATGGATCAATCTTGGATTGCTGCTTCAAAAGCGAAATTGTAGCTTGCTGTGCTTCTTCGGTTTTTATCTCATGCCCCATTGGATTCTCCATGGAGATAACAACCTGAAGTTGTTCTTCGGGTGAGATTTTGCGACCTGGTGGCACTTCAATTTTCTGTAATTCGATGCGTAATTGCTCGTCAACCTTTTCTTCTACATTCGAGAGGACTTCAACTTGTCTTTCTGGCGACTTGTTTTCTGGAAGACTTGGCGATATCATCTGTTCCTCGGATTCAATCTCTGCTTTGATAGGCGTATCAGCTGTTGGAATGATTTGATCTGCAAGGACTGGCTGGGGGATTCTGTCAATCTGTGGACCCTGAATCACCATCTGGTCTGTATCAGTTTCAGCTACCACCTTGGTGGGACTTGTAGGCGGTGTTGCAACTTGCTCCATCACATTATTCTGGGCTTGTAGATCAGGTTCGGCACTATTCAATTGAACAATGGTATCTTCTTGTAACTTGATGTGATTCTCACTTCCTTGAGATTCACTGGCTGATCCTTGGATGGGTTGAAGGGCACTTGGCAACGAAAGGAAGCTGAAGATATCCAAACCAGGAGATACATGAGGATCACCCATTGTATTTTCCATTTCAACGTCATCGCATGAGCCATCATATTGTGGCGGAAGGCAGGACGATTGACGCGAGTAAAATGCATCATTGCTTGGAACAGAATGACTATTTTTGCTGATACTGGAGGTAGTTTCGGCTGCGACCGTCTGAGATTCCTCGAACATTGTAAGTCCCTGCAGATATTAGCCGGCCTGTTCAAATTCGTAGTACATCAACACGGATAGCTTGAGGGAGGGAAAATACCCACCAAGCGATTCAATACCCAGTGGTTGCGATCAGCCTCAAATTTCAGTTCAAATCTATATTTTATACCGCAGTCTGCAGTAACAGCAGCAGCTGTAGCTGAATCTGCCTCATCGAAAAAATCTCCTTCAAGTTCCTTTTTGAACCAAGATGAGGCACGCTTTAAAATATACGAGTGCATTCTGAATGAATACCTGGGATTCTTGTCGAGAAGTGAGATGTATACATCGGCATCTTTATCTGCGAATGGCTGCGAAAGTTTTGTTAGATGCACATTTGAGCGGATGATGACTTCTTGAGGGAGGTTATCATCTGGTTCTTGGCTGAACTCGACAAAAGTTCTTTCTCGCTCAGCAGCTCGACTTCTTGAATTCGATGCCCGTGGGCCTATCGAGAGGTTAGTCATTCTGTATTTGGTATTTGGATGGTCTCCAGTGCAAGTTCTGGATAATAAGATTGTCTGCATACCTGGACAAGGCTTTTTGGATGGCTGGAAATGCTCATCATCAGAATGAATCTCGATTGGATTGTTCTTCATTGATCTCTTTCTACCGTTCTTGACAGGTTGAGCTTTGAAAGCATGATTGCCGGGGTCACCAACCTGCATGACCTGCTCACCGCGCTGGTATTGCTTACGAGAGGCCTTTGGAGGCATGACTGTAGAATTGGAGTAAAGTTATCAATAATTTGAAGGATGTAAACAATAAAAGAATCTAGATGGCAAAGCAAAAGATAAGTTGATAGAAAGAAGTAAGAGAAGCCGATATAGATCGACGGAGGTATGAGAGGTAGAGGTTGTAGTTGAGGAAGATTGAAAGAGGTGGAAGTGGGAAAGTAATAGATTGAAAAGTCTTCCGTTTCCACGCTAAGGATAGTGAATAGAAATGGCAGGAAGAGATGAGGGGTATTGGCTTTTGGAAAGTGAGATATATCGGAGTATGTTTTGACGAGAGCGGCAGCAAGGTGAGAAAATTGGCAACAACAGAGATTGTAGACTCAGGTTTGTATGTATCGAAATATTTCCAGAGGGGACTTTCAAATGTGTGCTTGCTTTGATAGCAATTGTATATCAGCCAGGTTGTTGTAGAATGAAAAGCAGAAAGATATTGTAGAATGTGGGTTTGCAAGTTGTGAGTTCAAATGTGAATTGGCCAAGATTTTGTGGTTCGATATATTGACGAAGAGGAGTCTTCAGCTGGACTTGCACCAAGTGAATATTGTAAAAATTTGATAAAGTCGTGGAAATGGAAATTAATTGACCTTGATATTGTTTCGCTGTGGTGTATATTCAAGAGATGTCCTCAAGTTCCCTCAAAACTATCAAATTACTCTCCTCCCCCAAGAGTAGAAGATAGGTATGTAGCAATCCAGAAGTCGTTTGGGTCTTTGATCTGACGAAATCTAGGGACTATCAAACCTCAAGAAAGGGCACTCAGATGCATTCAAATTCCCCCAAAAGTACAAACTGTATGTTACAAATGATTCTGAGAATATCGAATGATTCATGCTAGAATTCAGATGATGTTAGAAACTCGAATAGATGAAATATGCAACGAGAAGTCATTTTTCTTCTGCATGAGTATTTTGCAAGGCTAAATCCCGAGAAGATTCGTAAGGGAAGGAACTCACGAGGGAAATTTGGACTAAGAAGGTGCACCAAGACTGCACTTTGCTTCCAAAGAGTATATACACTTATCGCATTTGGGATACGGACACCAAAAATGCATGAATTTCCTGTCCAAAATAACACCGGAGGGGTATCAATCAAATTTCCAAATATTCGACCCTAACTAGAGTTGAGATGTAGAGTAAAACAAGAACATAAAGCATATTCCACGACGAGCCGGACTTCCCATTCTCAAACAGCAGTTCACTCCCTCGCCTTAACTTTCAACAACCTCTCCGCATTCTCAAACGCAAACCCCCTCATCTCCGCCGAATCCTCCCCCCAAAAAGTCCACTCTGAGCCACCCTCTTCACAAACTCCCTCCCCGTCCCATTCTCCGAAAACGGATAGTCAACACTAAACAAAATCTTATCCTTCCCCTTCGTCTGCACCAAACACGCCAACGGCGCCAACGAAAACATCCCACTAGTAGTAACCCACAAGTTTTCCTCCCAAACCTTTTCTAATCCTCTTTCCCTTCCCCACCTCGCCGATACCTTGAATATTCTCTCCAAGTTAAATGGCAAAAGCTCCCCCATATGTCCCAACACTATTTTCAACTTCGGGAACCGATCAAATACCCCCGCAGCATACAGACGCAAAAAATGAAGCCCAGTATCGAAATGCCATCCTAGCCCCAATTGCTAAGCGCCATTGCGATCCCCTCTGGATAATTCCCACGGTATTTGCTCATATCCTTTTCAGCTGTGAAATTGGGATGGATATAGATGGGTACATCTAAAGCACTAGCGGTTTCAAAAATACTCCAGAATTTCTCATTATCGTAGAATTCGCCATCAAGATGATTATCAATCAACGCACCCACAAAGCCGAGTTTATCAATGCAGCGGTTCAACTCTTGAGCTGCTTCTACAGGCGATCCCATAGGCAGAGTTGCGAAGCCTTTTAGGCGGGTCGGATTTTTGGAGACAGCAGCTGCGAGTTCATCGTTGATTTCTTGACACAATTTGAGAGGAGCATGATCCATAGGACCATGAGAAAGGATTTGTAGAGAGATGTTTCCATCATCCATGTCGTTTATACGTTCGTCGTTGAGAGATTTTAGTTTCCTAGTGATCTGAACTGGGAACCCTGCGAATGGATCAGGGGTCCCGCTTGCTTGCTGGGCGGCAAGAACCGCGGAGGAAAGAAAGTGTTCCTCGAGGGTGATTAGGGGTAACATTTTGAGTGATCTTTGAATGTTTGGTCTAATTCTTGGAAGGAATTGAAACATCGTGTTCTAAATTCGTTGGTGAGGAATGTTCATTGAATACATATAGAAAAGGGTGTGAGATGACGTGCAGTAGTCACCTTCGGATTTATTCTTGTACTTAATTTATCTCCGGATCGCGAACGGATATACCCATTACCTACTCCGCAGGCAATTGGAAACTGCAAATCCGTAGATCTTCCCACTTTTGAATCAACATGATCTATTACTAGGGGTATAATCTAGGTACTGATAGAGAAGAAATACAAAAGTTTACGGAATGTTTATCGCTGCTTCATCCGTGGGAAAGTTGTAAATGGACCACCTATAGCGCAACTGTTTTCCCACTCTTAGCACTTTCCCTAGCTGCCTCAATAATCCTCAAAATATCTCTAGCTTCGCTTGCTTTCACTGGAACAGCATCTTCGCTGCCACTAGCTATAGCATCGGCAAAGCCTTGGTAAAGAGCAGCATAAGTTTGCGGAGTCACGTTCTTGTAGGTGCTGCCCTTAGGTTTTCCATCCTCGAATACCACTAATTTTCCAGACCTATCTTCTGATTCGATACCAAATTTGGCATCACCAGGCTTGAGACCGGCTTTCAATTGGTCTTCTTGAATATCAAGGTGGTATTTCTTAAAGCTACCCTGCGATCCTCGAACCCAGTATCGTAATTGCTCTTCTTCCACGCACAGAACCTATGAATTGATCATTAGCGATGTTCAGTATATCAAGAAAAAGCTGTGACTAATAGCAGTGTTCGATGCTTACCCCAGCCTTTGCAGTTACCAATGGACCCTTCTCGCCATAATTCAGCATTACGGTAATACTGTCTGGTTCTGCCGAGCCATCAGCTCTTTGATTCGTGAAGATTGCTGTTACTGTCTTTGGTTGGCCAAATAAGCAAAATGCTTGATCAATCAAATGTGTTCCTAGATCATATATAACACCGCCAGCATCCTCCATGGTCAATGTGCCCTTCCAAGTTGCGGGTTTCTCGCCCTTGAATCTGTCAAAGTGTGTCTCAAATTCGACCACTCTTCCCAATAAACCATCTGCCATCAATTTCTTGACCGTCAAGAAATCAGAGTCCCATCTTCTATTCTGGTATACGCAAATGAACTTTCCAGTTTCTTTGGATATAGAAATAAGCTCTGAAGCTTCCGCGGATGTGGGAACGAATGGTTTCTCTACCATAACATGTTTACCAGCTTGTAAAGCGGCTTTCGTGAACGGGAAATGTGTCTCGGGAGTTGTGGATATGATAATGATGTCAATTTCCGAATCTGCAAACATAGCATCTGCGGAGTTGTAGATTTTGGCTTCTGGATGATCTTGGGCGGCATTATCGTTTGGTTTAGGTGTTCGTTGAACAATTGAGTGAAGGGTGAAGGATGGAGTAACAAGAATGAGCGGAATATGGAAGACCTTGGCTGACAAGCTACAAGCTTCAATTAGTACACATTCGACAGCTTTCGAGGAATTATACAAACCCGTAGCCAATTACTCCAACATTGTATTTCTTATCTGCCATATTGATTGAGATGAGGTATTTAAAATCGAAAAGTACAGCAAAGAACAGAGCCCTCAATGATGCGATATAAAGAGTTTGAAATATAGGAAAATCGACCCCTCTTTATAACTTGTTGCCCCTCATCCCGTCATGATGATTTCTCATTCATCCTGCGGAGGTGGAGAGCCAAGGGAGCTCTCAGAAAAAGCGCCGGAGTCACCCCGGTCGGACTTTCCTAAATCGATTCGCCGACATGTGATGATTGGTTCGTTTCAATATTTTTTCTAAAAAGGAAGGGGAACAATGACCTCAGTACTCGTATAGGAAGTGGCCTTTTGTGAGGGAGGTATGATAATTCTCTATGATCTTATTGTATCAACGGTATCATCGAAAGAATCAAGAGGAAAAACCAAAGCCCTCACAAACTTTGGCGATTACGGTGTCATGATACCAACCTGCAACAACTAGCATGTGAGCCACCGGAGGCATCACTACGTGATCGTGGGTATGATTAGTCTTATTACCCTAGAACTGGATTTCCGGTGATAACGTATCTTACTCGAAGTTGAGTTTGAAGTCATGACTCTTTCTCAGTCAATCAAGACCATAGTTTTTAAAATATGACCTGAAAACCGGAGATGTTGGAACTCGATGAAAGCTCCTGGAATTTCATAACTTCAACACAATATCTCCCAACTAGGCGATTGTAACTGATCTTGAGTCACAAGCAAAGGAGCATGTGAGGCTTCCGTACAGAATCTGCGTTAGTCGAGGTGAAAACTAGGATTTGAGGACATATCGGAAGCTTTCTAATGTCTGTGTACGGCGCTGTTGTGGTACTGAGAGATGTTACGATTGTGCACAAGGAAGCAAACACCTGAACAGATCAAGAAGGCCTGGGTCTCACTGGGTGAAGTACATTGTAGTTCATTCTTGTTTGCAAGCTTCCTGATCGTCTTCCACTTGCACTATATCTGTTTTTATATGCTGAATCGATTTATTCTAAAAGATTTTTCGTGCCCTACCATCGAGAATCACGAAAACATTAGACCATGAGATCTAGCTTTGGATACATTTCACACACAGGGCAACTTGTGAACTAAGGATAATATCGAGGACACATTGGAGGAGGTGCGGAAAAGCAAAAGAGAAAGGATGAGAAACATATGAACGACAGTATTGCAGTACTTGATATTGAAATCATCTAACAATGCGACTTGGAGAATTTCCTCGGGTCTATAAGATTAAGAAAAGCATATATCCAATAACTTATTCTCTAGTCGCATTGTTTGTCTGAAAATTGTGGCTCCTCCGGAAGTGCAGAACCCCAGCTTTCTCCCCAACTAGTTGCAATACGTGAGGCGGTCCCAAACTTCTTCTTCTTGGATTTCTTTTCTCCTATAACTCCCCCTTGGGAGATTTTGTCTTTTCCTTCATCTTTTTTTGCAACGTATGTATGAGCAGGAGCCTCGGCCACCTATCAGAATATTTAGTTATTACAGCTGAATGTTGGGGGGTCTATACTGAACCAACTCACTAAATTTTTTGCTTCTCCTTGATCAGCCGCGTGGAATTCGACGTTGGCCTTCACACTTGAAACATTCGAGATGTGTAAGTCAGCTACAGAGGGTACATGGGACTTTGGTGTCTGTACTACCGGGGTCGGAGGGTCTTTAAGAGCAAGTTCTAAGGTAATGTCGAATTAGAACGATTCCGACGCATGTAACATGTTACATACCTGAAGCATAGCGACCGGCATGCCACTTGCAGGTATTTAAGCCTTCCTCCAGAATGTGTATCTTCTTGTCCAGTCGCTCTCTTTGGGTCTGGTTTTCCTGTGACTCGGCAGCAATTTGTGAAATAAGTTCGCTGGTCATCTGTGCTACTGCAAGTGGATTGAAAACATTCGCCAAATTGTCCACGATTGATGCCTCTATAACCTGGACAGATACATTGTCCACAAAAGTCTTCATTGCCACCTGAAGAATTATTTAGCCAAATACCACAAGTTATTTTTGTTTTTTGATATCTCACCTTGTAAAAGGCTTCCAAATGATCAAGAAGCTCAATGCTAGCACGCGTATCCATGTCTGGTATAGATCCTGACACCATGGAGCATATGATAGAGAGATCATTCGGTCCAGTACGACCTTGACTGTAGTTGTCCAAAGGGAACATTTTCTCCAAGACTTCTAAGAGCCTCTTTTGATTACGAGCATCAGAAATCTTCTGTGCAGTTTCCGTGAAGTAATGATTGTAGGTTATGGCATGTCTATGCCGATCATGGAACAATCTGTCCAATTCATCAGTAGCTTTCTTGAGTAGCTTTTCCATTAATGGATCGACGTAAAGCATGAGTAACGCCATGTATGCATCTGAATCCATGAGAGAAGACAGTATATCCTCTAAATGACCACGAGCTTTTGCCCAGATATCTTGAAGGTGGGTTTTGGAGATATTTTCCCATGGCTTCGATTGCACTCTGAATAGATCTCCAATCAGCATCGGGCTGAAAGTTCCTGGCAACTCTCTCCCTCTCGAAGAGATTAGCATATCCCGAACCCATGAGATAGCTCCATTACTTTTCCCTTCCAGTCCAATGCCCCGGAGATTGATATGTTGACCATTTAGCCGAACCATTTCGGCAAATTCGAGGTTCAGATTTTGAACAACAGCTCGGAATCTGCGGGTCTTGAACTCTTTACTAGCAGTGTCTCCGAAAAACTCGTCCTCGTATATACCATCACATGAGGCTCTGCAGATGCTCGTGAAATGTTGGCTATGTTTCAAAAGATATAAACGTTGTTGTTCAGCGTTTCCACGGCGATCTCCAAGTTTTGTAAATGCTTGCTTTGACTCGTGCAAGATGTCTTGAATTTCGCGAATAAGAGCTGGCAGCTCCGACTTGATGTGGTCCAAGAGAACCCTACTCAGACGCTCTCGCAGCTGTGAAACTCCTAAAACTCCACGAGGTAATGTTTTCCAGATTCCTTGTGAGAAAAACTCTTCTTCTATCCTATCTCTCTCCACGGAGGTGACATGTTTCGTGTTGAAGTCGCGGTTCCTCAGTACGTGCCAACCGAGTCTGAGTTGCGTTACTTCGTTTAAAGCTAGCTTAACAAAGTCTTTCTCGCTCTCGGAGTCCTCGAATAGAGTGTCAGGCTTCGTGATTAAGCCCATAGTGCGCCTACCGTGTGGATCCACTGCTTTGACTTGCTTTAACACTGCTTGGAGAGCCCGATCGTTCAGTGCAGAGACAACTGCCAATATGATTGTTCTTGGACGGCGCATATATGAGTAAACGAGTTCAGATACCACTTCCTCCACATTTTCGTCATCCTCATCATCATTCTTGGCGTGAATCAAGCCAGGTAAATCAACAACTGTTAGATGAGGCCTTGTCGGGCCAGAGATTTCGATGCGAAGTATGTCTGAAGAAAATCCGCTCCCAGGCTTGTCAAGACCTAGAGCAACCTTGGCAGATTCTATCAATTCCGGTAATTTGTCGAAAGAATGAAGCGTGTACTGAAAACCGGCAAGTTCTTGACTCTCTTTCTGAGACCTCTTTTGGCTAGGAACAATATTCACCACGACTGACTCCACAGAGCTTTTGCGAAGAACAAGCTCAGTAGCAAAGCGAGTACACAAGGTATCTTTGCGCGGAAATGGTATCCCCGAGATAGCCTCTAGGCAGGAGCTTTTCCCACTAGATTGGTCTCCACAAACGGCAATCTGTGGCAAGGAGACATGATCACTAATACCAGAGCGGCGAAGCGTGTCAATCTCATTAAGTAGGTTCAGTTGCTCTTCTGATCTGAGAGCGGTGAGCTTACTGCTTTCGAAAGTACCCATTCTTTAAGATGTCGTGCATTGGAAAGCATCAGGAAGGAAAAAAACGAACTGAAGTTCAATCACCATTATGCGTAACCAACGCATCATGCATCCAGCCGCCACCTGCGCATGAAGACTTTTTAATTGGATAGTGTAAGATCCTTCCCTTGTATTCTGATTGCGTCGGATTTGGATCGGAGAGGAAGGTCGCTATCCCGACACTTCTCGCTTGAGCCACACTACAGAGTGTTACATGCGAATCAAGCCAGCTTTGGTAGTTCTCAAACTGATCAACGATTTTTTGGAGTGGACAAGCCGAGGTTCTTTGAAAGAGCTGCAGGTCAGCCATCTGTGGCAGCCAATGAAATCGAGTACGTATTTTTACATGGCCATTGATCCAAAGATTGGGCTTACCATCCGCAGATATTTAGAACTTGAACTAAGGTCGAACTGTGGAAAAAGTATATGAAGACTAATTGATCTACGAAGTATTTTCTTCGGTGAGAATGTATTCATACTTTATGTATTATCTTACTGGGTGTTTACGATAGGCGATATATGTATTTGTCCATATGATGGAGTTGGATGAGCTGAGAATAGAACGCTAGGTTAGTGGTGAAATGTGTTTGATGTTCGAATCAAACATTTTTATTTTCAAAAAGGAATTTTGGTAAAAAAAGAAAAGTATGGTAAAGACTTTGATCGATAGAATATGTGTGGTGACATTCAAAAAGTCTGTTTAATCTGAGCCGTTTTGTTGGCCAATGAAACCGGAGGCTGGCGCCATTCTGACTAACCCAAGGCTCCAGAATGAGCATCTGATTCACTATCGAATGTTACATGTCTAAATTCTGGATTTCAATATCTTGAATTATAAGCGGAGAAATAGTGAGAGAAGAATGCCTCTTACTGCCCGAAGACCATGTATATACCATCCACTTCAAAATGGAGACATTCGAGTCGTCAAACTATTTCCCACAATGAACTTCCTGGACCCTCTCAATATCAGCATTTATGCAACACCGCTAGGGAACAGTCCACAATACTCTGCTCTTTCATACACATGGGGAGATAAGACCCATGTGATACCTATTGCAGATTATAATCGCAAGTTCTTGCACCATGTGACCGAAAATCTTGAATCTGCTCTTCGACATCTCCGAAGACAGAAAGAAGCTATAATTCTATGGATCGATGCTCTATGCATCAATCAAGATGACGATCGCGAGAAGAGTCAACAGGTAATACGTATGGGGTTGATATATCAACGTGCCAAAATGTGCGCTTTTGGCTAGGGAAAGATTCACCTGATAGTGACAAGGCTATGGACATTGTCCATCAGATTACGGATCTTGGAACTCTTGATAATACTGCGACGGATTCTTCAAATATTGGACAATGGAAAGCTTTCGTCTCATTAATGCGTCGCCCTTGGTTTTCTCGTCGATGGACCATCCAAGAAGTAGTCTTCGCGAGAAATGCATTTGTGCACTGTGGAAGAAAAGAAGTGCGCTGGCGTGATTTCGCAGATGCTGTGACATTATTCGGTGAGAAGGCTGAAAAAATTCGGACACTATTCGAAAGCACAAAGAACGGCTCACAGTATCTGATTAATAGCCAAAATAGTCCTGCACGCTCGTTTATTACGGCTGCGGGTACTATCTGAGAAAAGAAAGGTGTTGGTAGGTTCAGGAGGCTGTGTAGTATGGAGGTCCTGGTAACTCAACTGGCATTTATGCAAGTTTCAGAGCCACGAGATACAATTTACGCTCTCATAGCATTGGCAAATGACGTTGTTCCGCCTATGAAAGAGAAAATTGACTATAGGAAGAGTGTAGCTACGGTGTGCAAAAGTTTGATATCACAAGTAGCCGATACACACGGCACACTTGATCTTATCTGCAGATCATGGGCGCCGATGGAACATCAATTACCGTCGTGGATTCCGCCTTATACTGGACCTTCCTTTTCTTGGGACCCTAAATGTGTTTTTAGACGCATCAAAGCTGTCAGTCTTATTGGACCGCCCGATAAACCATTTTATAATGCATCTGGAAGACATCGACAAGCTGGAGTGAAATTCGACGAAAATGGTCTAGGATTTATTGTGGAAGTCCAAGGCTTTGAATTCGACAGGGTTCGCTTGGTGGAAGAGCCGGCGAGAGATGGCTATGTACCAAAGAGCTGGCTTGACATTGCATTGGGCTTGGCCAACGAAAATGAACCAAGATTAGCTGAAGCTTACACTCCCACACGGAATGCTATTCCGGATATGTTTTGGCGTACGATAGTTTCTGATAGGAATTCAAAGGGCAATTCACCTCCAGATTGGTATCTCCGGGCATGTAAGGAGTCTTACCGGCTTTCCTCTACTAAAGGTCTCGATGCGGCTGTCAATTCTGTCTCGCCTGAGGATTATGATGCCTTAAATACTGTAAAGATCAGTGAAAAGGGAGATAACTTGAGAAGCCCAACTATGGTTACATCATTTTTGAACCGGGTGCAAGCTGTTATATGGAATCGAAGAATGGCAGTCACGGAGCAAGATGCACTTGCAATGGTTCCATGTGAAGCCCAGGATGGCGATCGCATTTGCATTATTTTTGGATGTAGTATCCCAGTCATCTTAAGAGAACATGGAGAAGATGTTTGGAAAGTGATTGGTGAATGTTATTTGAATGTTTCTGAGATTATGGGTGGAGAAATCGCAGATAATGTCGACAAGGGATACAAAGTGGATTCGTTCAACTTGATCTGAATAGACGCTTGGTACGTGTTCCGGCGTGTTGACCAGTCCTGGGATTGACCAGTGAACAGCATCTGTTTTTTGTCTAACTATCACCCTCTCGTCATTTGTCATTCTGATATATATCTTCGAAATATACATATTATTCTTGGGCTCCTGGTGGAAGCCTTATTTTTGCACAATCGCAATGATCGAATCATCCAATGGAATCGTATATCTCAGTCTTTAGAATCTCAAGGCCAGCAGCACTAGCGAGATATTGCTACCGCTCATGAGTACGTACACTCCTTAGATGCAAGAGCGGTCATATTAGCCAAGTATGCTTGGATAGATATGAAACTGGTAGGAAAAACATCTTGCAAGCAATAAATTCCACCTTGGTAATTTTTATCCGCGAGATCGGAGGTTATGTCGTCAGAACAAAAGTGATCTTTGCTCGTTTTGCGGATTTGGCCTATAGATTTCAGGTAGCGGAGAATAAGTCCTGAGGTATCTTAGCTATCTCTTCATTCCACTTCCCCTTCAAATTTACATCAACATCCACTTCCTTTAAGAACTCTCACCCAAAAGGTCTTCCTCCAATCTCCTGTGGGTAGCCAATTTCTCAACACTAATCGCTTCTCGACTCTCATTTAACGCGACCAAGATACCTAGATCGACAGCTATACGAGTAGCTGTAATACGAAGATAATCTTTGACTCTATATGAGTATTTCAGACCCCATGTAAATGCAAGATCATGTTCCAATATAAAAATAAACGCAAAAATCTAGCAAAGCATTGGAGAATATGATAATGTGTCTCAATTTCATACTGAATATCACGTAGAGAACCTGCTAATCTCCTTCGTTTTGATTAGAAGGCATTTTAGGCTAAGACGCGAATTTGTGGGACAAGTTTGCTCATGTTGTTTGATCTACTTTTGTGTGAGAGATATTGAGAACGGGGATAAGGAAGAAATGGAAATAATGAAGATGATTTTCATCTGAAGTACTGGGCGCTGGCAATACAACTAGAGAATAAGAGTTTGAAGTACAGTAATTTCATGTGCCAGATCGAGTTGTATGCCATGGATGTGTATGAACTATCAGATGAGTGTTGAAACCAACAGCCGTCTCGCTAAGATGACTCTTGCTCACCGATGGAATAGATTTCCACAGGATCACATCTTATGGAGATTCACAAGAGCAAAGAGAAGGTTGGTTTGTATATAACTATTATTCTGATTATGTATTGTACATTATCTGTCGTCTTCGTTTGAGAAAACACCCGTTCATATGTGACTAACTGGCGCGAGCCATACGTACTTCTTAAAACTCCAATACCACGTGTTCAAATATGTAGAATGGTTGATTATTAGACTCTTAGACACCATAGTTATGCCAAAAATCAAATGAAAGTACAAAGTAAGATGAAGAAATGATTGAGCAGTCCCAGGAAGACCCCCGACAACTTCCCCCCAAGAAACCATTCTGTGAAAAACATGGACTAAAGGAAAAATTCAGTAAAGCATCGTAAATACCGATTCAGAAATGAGCAAATATTAAAGAATCGTGAAGTCGTAAAAACATGGCTAGCAAAGGTCAAGCAAGCATATTAGCCCAAACTAGTATCTTGAGTATCTGTTTCTTCCATATCCAAATCCATAACCAGAAGAATATGATCTGCCATAGCCACCATAACCATATCGATTGTGTCTATAACTAGAGGACTTAGAAACCTTGTAGTTAGACGATTTGGTCGTAGTTGTGCGCTTGCTTGTTTTCTTGACTTCAGTGGGAGGAGCTTTGTAATTGCCACCTGCCTTTTCGGCCTTTTTTCTCGCCAAATCCCTAACGAAGCGTTCTTTCTCCCACTTAGCTTTGTTGGCAATGGCTTTCCTCTCTTCAACGGGCTTCGTAGACCATGCTGCTTGTAGAGCGGTAGGGCTTGAGATGACGCTCTTGAAAGGTTCAACATCCAATCCAATATCGATGATCCATAATCCACGTTTCTTGGAATAGCCAGCAGGGTCATTCTTAAACTCCTTGTCCTTTTCTCTAGTAAAACCATACGTATACTCAAACTCTGCCCATGATTCAACAACCGGATTGCTATCTTCTTTGATAGATTTCGCCATCTCAAGAACTCTATTGCGTTCAACCTCAGTCATTTCACTCCAGGCAATTTCCATTCCCTGCATATTGCCCTCATGGAGCTGTGCAGTTTTGTAACAGAATGGTATAACATCAAGGCCAAGCTTTTGAAGCCATTCGCGGCGTTTGTCGCTATATGCTGTGTGTGTTGTGAAAGCACTTACTGGGTAGATCTCATAATCTTTCTCTAAAGTCACCCACGAAAGAGCTGGCAGGTTGGGCTTAGCATTGATATATTTTGCTTTAGCTTCGATGGCTCTTCGCTCTACGCTTGGTTTCTGATCATAGAGATCGTTCAATGCCTGCAGTTCTCGCGAACTCTGCGCTAGAGGTAGATATCTAGGATCGTCGAAGCCAAGTGTTTCCAGCCAAGCTAAGCGTTTGGGAACAAGGTCATAATACGCCAAATTCTTTCCCTGAGGAAAGTTGAAATATGTTTGCTCCAACTCGTAGAACGATAGAGGGGTTGGGCCAATCAGGTTGATTGGGACAGGTGTTCGTAGAGCAAAAGGGGCTAATCGTAGCGGTACCGCATGGGTGACTTGATAGGGTGGCTTCAATTGAACAGCTTTCTGTTCAATATCTCGGCGCTCCTCTGGAGACTTCAATGCCCAATGAATTTCGACTTTATCTCTTTGTGACTCATTAGTGAACACAAAGTTGTATGGCGAAACGTCAATACCCAACTTTGCCAACCATTTTCTGCGTGCAAGCTTTGCATTCTCATCCTGAAAGTTTTGGCCATTTGGATACATTTGCTCTAGCTGATAGAACGACAAATAGGGAGCGTAGACCAAAGGCTTTTGGTGAAGCTTAGTAGACGATGGTGGTGACATTTGGTTACTTAAAATACTTGCCAATGGCTGACGTGGAGTAGGAGTTGCCGGTAGATAAGACTTCTGCGACAGCGACATTGTACGATAGCCTTGTTGAAAGCCTGAAGCCGGTGGAGTCATGCCATAGACTTGAGAGGAATGAGACATGTGACTTTGACTGTACGCACCGGGCTGAGATTGTGGCTGAGAATTAGTGAAGGACGTTTGAGACATTGGCAAGTCGTAGTTGGTGCCCAAGTCTATATCATCATCATCACTGAAATCATTTTCGCTAAATGTTACAGCGTTCTGGCTATTATTTGGAAGAGACTGCGCATAATTGTTCTTTGAGATAGAGCATTGTGGATTCTGGTTCTTCGATGAGGTATGGCTGTTCTCTTGACCGAGCATGCTATTACCTGCGGCTGTAGCAGTGAAGCCTGGGATGCTTTTGAGAGTATCCATATTATGGAGTAGAGTGCCGATCTTCAGGTTGTCAACTCCAATTTGCGATTGAGGTGGATGTCTAAGATTGTGTTAGTCAAAAGATCATAATCGAGGACAACTGGCAAAATTTGGCTTTGTCCACACGCCTTCTTCTGTCGCATGAAAGCTCCCCACGAAAATCATCAACCAATGAGGTGGCGGCAACATGACAATTGAAAAGACACAAGTTATTGATAGTACTTACGCAGTAGATGTTGCATTAGATTTAACCTTTTGATCAACCACCTCCTCGATGGAAATATGACGGGCATCTGATTCTATCAAACGTTGCACTAAAGCAGCTTTCAAGCCATTAGTTGGAAGTTGACGGGTTTTGAGAACCTCCTTCAATTCTACCACTCGATATTTTGCGTAGTCGACCATCATGTCGTCGCTCGAAGTGATTGACTGGTGATGCACTACCGTTGGTGATGTGAAATTACCAACTCGTGTTGATCCCGAGTGTTGAGTGCATCAAATGTTGAAATTTCAAAGGAGTGTGAAGTTTGAAATAATATTTTGGCGAAGTAAACAAACTCGGAATTATTCACACGTTTGTTTGGCCAATTAAATTTTCAATATGAGCAATAACGCGACTGCCACTATCCAGTGAATTAGAGTTTGCTGTTCTGGTATATCGTCTGATTAAAATAGGATCTAACTCAAGATAAAACTTCATTCCGAGCTTCGATCCATATCTTTTTCCATCTATACAATTCATTTCCTGTGCGTTTTTCCTTATACACAAACATGATCTGTTTTGCTGTCCTACTTTCCTTGTAAAGGAGGGCAACATGAGAGGAAATAGATCTGATGGACGATGCTGAGGAAACTAACGCGAGAGAGCAGCGAATATGCTTTCTCGAGGAAGTCATATAGATACATCATTCGTTGTACTGAAGTATAGATTTTGCTTTCAATCCTTTGGGTAGAAGTCAACAGCTCTTGCAGGCTAAAGAAGAGGATGAGAAACAATGCAAAAGAAATAATTTCAGGAGAAATTGCCTGAAGGAACCTGATCCGTGTTGCGTTGATTTAAAATGTCCTAAGTATGCTATTTCTATGTACCCCGTTCGCCCCATCCATCTATCCATTTCCATGATCCCATTCCCTAGTCTTACATTCAATGTATCCCACCACTCCAAGCCCGCCTGATTACCCAATTACCACCCTTGATTCCCACCCTGCGCCTCATCTTCATTCTCTACTTTCATAGCATCGCGTAGTCAAATCCCATTTCTAATTTCCGCTCTTGGCACCTCTCCCTCCTCCTTCTTAACCACCATTCTCTTTCCGTTCGGAAATCTCAATTCTCCCGCCCCATTACTCGCAGGCACAAATCCATAAAGCCATCTTGCCACAACCCATGAACTAACAGCCCATACCCACACCAGAATTCCCAATCCGCAAGTAACGAAGAGAGTTGGCACAAGTAAGAGCAAAGCAATCCCGATCCAGAAGAAAGAGAAGAGGATAGCAGATATAAAGGAGAACGCGAGAACCGAGACGGTGAATGTTGTAAAGAGGAAGAGAGGCACAAAAGAGATGCTCAGGGTCGCGAGGAGGAATGTCTATCGAGTGCGGTTAGTGAGGCTGTGGGGAGATAGGATATGAAAGTGGGATCTGATTGGCATGGGTATCGATGGAGGGAGAGATAAGAGTTAATTGTATGTATGTCGACAAATGAAGAGTGGGAAAAGAGTGGATTCATCTGCAGAATCCATGGAGAATTCGCCATAGATTGAACCAGCCGATTCTTTAGATTACTCAGATGTAACAGGAACAGAAATATACATACAGCAATAAGAGGTTGTTCCTGAAAGAACTCGGAGACATGCCCATAGAACTGGGATCTTTGTTCAGGGGTTACAACGCGATCAATCGTCCTCTGAAGGCGTGAAATTGTACCGGCAACAACCATTTTCGTAATTTTACGTGTGAAATCGATTGCTGAATGAAGAATATCAGTTTTATTTGGATAAAACCAAAGTAATCGAATGTTGAGTGTCGTTGAAAGCTCCGCGTGTAGTGCTTTCCAAGCTGAACATTGGAATGGATGATGACATAATCATGACGGCCTCCTAGTTGATGGAATTGTCAAAGCTTCAAGACATCCCTGAGTCGGTATTGAATTCATAATTTCTCATGATATTATCAAGTTGATCCATATTATCATGGTAGTATATGGGGAAGTCACAGTGCAAAGCTGCGCTGCTGCACCTCTACAAATGCTATGGTGACGGCATTTTGACCAAGCGGAATTACAAGGGCCAGTGCCTGTAGTTACCATATATTTACTAGCTCGGAGCAAACGCACAGCAAACACAGTAGCTTCTAGCACTATTCATACAAACAGTTCTATCCGATCGTGTTCGATATTGCAATTTGCGACACATATTTTTCCAACGAACTCTGTCGGGTTGGGAAGGGAGAGTTGATTAATTCTATCTCATTAGAGATCTACCTAGCTTCTAAAAGGGATAATGGAATCACACATACAAAGCAAGAAGCAATCAGTACATTAATTTGTCGTTCAAGCCTCGAAATGTTTATATTAGTGATAGGATTCGATGTAAACCTATCAGATTCTTGATGACGCAGTCATCTCCCCCTGTCAAATAAAGGTTACTTGCATGATATCCGACCCCCATGGAAACCTTTCGTTCTTTGGTGGACAGTGGTGCATTAACTCCGAAACTCTTAACCATAAAGAATTTATCTCAGTAAGGTTATGGTTAATTATTAGTACCCATCCTAGTTGCTAAATTCCGAAGACCTTAAATACATAGCGATTCACGCCTTCTATCAAATTTCAAACAGTTGATTTGAAAGCCAACAGTCAGATCCATTCAAAATGTCAGCTTTCACAATCTCCAATCCACGCAGACACAATCTTCTAGCTCCAGCAGCGGGCGGCCCTATCACCCTTCAAGTAGGAGAGCGGCGATTCGTCACTACAAAAAATACGATGACAGGGGAAAGTCCTTTCTTCGCGGCACTATTTTCAGGGCGCTGGGATAGTAATGAACAAGCAGACGGATCTTATTTCATTGATGCGGATCCCGACCTCTTTGAACATATTCTGCGCTATCTTCGACGAAGTGTCCTTCCTATTTTCTACGATATCAAAAAAGGTCACGACCACGCTCTCTATCTCGCGCTTTTGGGAGAAGCGAGATATTTCCAGATTGCACGATTAGAGAATTGGTTAAAGAACAAGAGATATCTTTCGGCAGTAAAGATCTACAGTTCTGTAGAGGAGTTGGACGATTTGTGGTCGGAGTCTCTAAATACAGATCAAAATGTAGAGTATCGTCCGCGTTGGGATACAAAAAAAGTTTATATATGTCCACGGGGAATTTATGTACACAGGGGTAACTCGAGTGCGTGTGGAAGGCAGTGTGAGAATGTACGTGGTGATTCGGATTACATATATGAGAATGAGCCAGTCTTGAAGACGTTGGTGATTCGAAAAAAAATTGTCGTCGATCAAGCTGCTTGTATGGAGGGATTGGATGAAGAATGATTAGGTTAAGAAGAATGAGGACTAGAAGCACAATCGCAACGATTGGACTGCTCAATGTCTAGACAATCAGATATTTTCAAAGAGCCAATCAGGCAGGTGATAGTCCAACAAATAATTTCTGACAGTGATCTGGGCGATTTCGTACTGTTGGAGTGTTTCCCAGGGTGCTACATGATTGCCAGGAACATACTTGGAAGTCAATTGTTCATACTATAATCCACGCTAATCCTTGACGAGATTTGACAGAGAGGTAGAAAGTTGCAGATAAAACACCTAAGGTCAAAAGCCAGGTTCGGAAGTCACGGTCACTCAAGTTCAACTCTCCAAAATTCATTTCGATTACTCGATCATTAATCCGACAAAATCGTCACCGCTTGAACAAGATTCCAAGAAAATAGCACACATGATAATACGAGCCATATTCCGATCCTCACTCTCAAAGTGTCCTTACAGTAGCACAAACACAGAACCCCGAGATCAGACATAATTATCCCCAATTGTCGGAGCAGAATCCTTGACTTTATCTCCCCCAAGGAAAAATTCCTCGTACGATTCATCATTTGTAGCTGCTTGTTCCTTGTTATCTGAGTTTTCGGACGATGGTTTAGTCCTATTCTTGACTTTTGACGCAGACCACCACTGATATGCATCGGTCACCATTTCCCTGTAATCTTCTCCCAGCTTTTCTTTGGCTGATCCGACATGCAAGTACAGGAAGAGCCCTTCCCATTTCTTCCGCTTGTCTCTAAATCCATACCATAACGCCCTCAAAAGAACAATAGGAAAGAATAAGAAAAGGGGAAGTTTTATAAGTTTTGGACTCGGTGCTTTGAGCGCCAAATAAAGGAAGAACAAAGTCAGCGCAATTGAGATCGGAACTAAAACATAACTATTAGCATTGGTTTAGGATAAGATTGGGGGCGAAAACAGGCCAACGAACACATGAACTCGAACTGTTCTCTAATGCCCATGACTGAGTTTGAGGATCCAGTAAACTCCACCGCATTCATACCGAATATACTGCTCATGAAAGATAGCGGGAGAAAAATAATGGTGATAACGGTGAATATCATGATAGATCGACCTTGATGTACACTTTCATCCGCACGATCAAGTGAAGCGGTAGCTTCTATGATGCTTGCTTGTTGTTGTTTGAGTGTGAGTAGGTCTCGTAATTGTTCGGCAATTTCACGGGCACTATCCTCAAGCTGGTTTAACTCGCTGTGATGATTTGATATAGTGTCAACTAGATCTAAGGATCGGTCGATGGTATGCTTAATCATGACTTTGTTGACCTTTGCTGAACTATCCTCAGCCGACGGCGTGCCGTTGCTGATCATGCCATTTGAATCCGAGGAGTTTTTTTTCAGTTCTTTTAGCATAAGTCTCAAAAGGCCAGTCATTTCTTGCATTGGCTCAACCTGTCCATTGAATGTCTCTAGGGCTTTTGAGAAGACTTGCGTGACTTGTAATCTAAAAGAATGGTAAGTTCAGCAAGCTAATTAAAGGGACAGTTATGGAAGATGATAAGGATTGATCAACCCAAAGGCACCAATGGGGATACCACTCACTGTTGCAAATTTATACGCGACATCATTCTCAATTCTTCAATGATATCATGGGCTTCTCGTAGTAAAACCCCTTCGGGATTAATATTGAGATAGAGTCGTGCCTTTTCCGGGTCGATTTTTAGTCTTTGGCCACTCAGTTGCTCAAGATGACGCCAGAATAACTTGAATGCGGTCGTCTTCATTTCCGACTATTAGTTATCAGCTGATATTGCATATGATATGTCAATGTGCCGACACTCACAACATAACCAATCGCATCGGCAAATATATCCAAAACCTCGGGGCGTTCATCAGTAGGCTTTGTGCGATCAAAAAATACCATCGAACACTCATTCATGATCAAAAGAGCTAGATCGTATACAGAATTGATCTGGCCTGGACGGATTTTTTCGAGTCGGTCTCTAACACATCTATGCACACCTGAAGAGTCAGGCTTATTGCGACCCAGCCTTTTTGGAAAGCTAGTAATGATGGTATCTATATATGTGTCAATGATTTGATCCTGTAAAAAGGAATGAGTGCTGTCCCAAGAAGGTGACCCACGTTCGTCAAGAATGTACATCCATAGCTGATCGACCATCACTACGCGGGTACTTGCGTGGATAATCCTCCTCTCCTTTGTACCACGATAAACAACTTGATCCCTGTCCCGAGATTCTGTATTTTCAAGCTTGAAGTAGTAGGACTGATCAAGCGTACGGCGTGGATGAAAAGGTGGTTGTTCATGCAAATGACTGTGGACTAATTTAATATCCGGTTCAAGATCCATTGCCTCGTAGACTTTGGCAACTTGCATCAAATAACGACCCCAGGGTTTTGTGACCTTTCCAGAAGTATTTTTATCTGCACTAATCTTAGTATTGGCTCAAAAGAAGCGACGAAACCCAATCATCTGCTTCAGCTCACCAGAAGGGGCAGGGCCATCTGAATTCGTAAGCACCTTGGCCTCAGCCGTATGCAGGAAGCCAAACTTCTTCGTATTGTCTTTGACGAGGTTTGCAAGCATGTTTTGATGACGTATGTGGTAACGAGTCTGTTTTTCCCGATGCTCAGATGTGAGCTTTTTTGCAATGTTGGCCATGTGAGCTCTCTTTCGATCCATTTCCCAGTGAAGATAAGGCATCTAGAAACCTGTCAGCTCCCATATAAACCAATTTGAAGTTGATCTTACGAAAAGGACTATATTATTATTGCTTCTCTTTCGAGAAGTATGGTGATATTCAGCAAGAATGGCATCCACCTCCGGATCTATCTCTGTCAACAAATATAACATTTATCATGAAGAGGTGACTTACCTTGAGGAATACATTTGCAGTGCGAACGCATGTGCCGAGCATGAAGTGGATCATTTGCAGCGCCATGCTGCTGCCCTGTCCACAGTTCCCTGGAAAGAACTCTCGATGTCTGTGGTCGGTGGTCTTTGCTTTCATTATAATGTCTTTGAATTGCTTTCTTCAGCGAGTATTAGTTTCATGTCAAGGAATCCCAGATTTGAAAACTTACTTCGATCCATTTCATATTATTAGCAGGGAAATGAAAGTAGCGAATGCTTTCGGTGTTTTCTCTTGCCCAAGGATCTCGAACACCATTGGACTCGAGTACCTCCGAAACAGAATACTTTTCCATCCTATACTGGTCAAAAGATGTGATCTTGGGCGTGCGCTCGGATTGCCGCTTCTCTAGAGTTATTTTCGAGACACTAAACCCATATCCAGAGTCATCCGGAACATCTTGCTCTACCTCTACTTCTGCAATTAGATCACCAGGAGACTTCCACTTTGCTACCTCTTTCAGGATTCTATTTTTATTTTCCGCTCTGCGTAACTCTTCGACATTCGTCTCGAGGTCTTTTGCGACCCGTGTGGCCTCCGTTGGTTGGTTTTTGAAAGCTTCATATTCTTGCTGCAGTTTTGCTTGCTCCTTCTTCAATTCATGTATCGAAGTCTGGCTCGAATTCAAGTTTGCATCAAGAGAGTCGATGGCGTTTTCTTTCCAGGCTACCTTTCGCTTCTTCAATTCAACGATATCAGGGAGGTTCCTCTTTTTCGCCACGAATATTGCTCGTAATTCTGCAATTCGATCTAGTTCTCGCTTGATCTTATGCCCATAATTCTCTGGTAATTCCTCTATAAACCCTTCTGGAAGTCCCGCTTCGAATTCGTGTAATCGTCCTATCTCGACATCACCACGGCGGTCATATCGGCAACGCAGGTATAAGGAAACAAAATCTTTACTGTCTATTAACTCCTTCGGTGTTGAATCATCATAAAAATCGACATTCAAAGCAGCGGTGCCATCAGCGGCGCCTGTATTTGCTGGGTTCAGTCCAGCCATGGGCACCAAGTGATCTTTTTTTTTGGATTCAAAAGTGTCCTACAAGACACAGATAAGAACCTTAAGACAAGAAAGATAAATCATTTAGTCTATGGAGCCGCATCAATGGTACACTAGCCCCAAGAATCCATCTGTGAGATATTTGAGCGATCAGTGCCAAAAGAGACTCTAAAGCCGAGCATAAAGTCCAATCTCCAATCAAAAAAATTACGAAGCGCTGGGTTGACGCATCTATCGATAAGCCAGCGCTTATGTGGAAATTGAAAAGATCCTCAATTGACGAATTGGTTGAGAAATATGAGGAATCTCTGGGGGCCATATGCAGGCTGACCCAAAAAGGATACACAGCACCGGATAGTGAGGTTACATGGTGTAACAATCCCTACTCGTTCTGGCCACCGAATGAGTTTGCTTACCCACAGCACCCATGTCGTGGCCTCGTAATGTACTTATTGATGAATGATCCAAAATCCAAAGTGGGAATGTTTGCGATGAGGCTGAGAATTGACCTGGACGACTTGTCCTTCAAAGTCATTCAACACGAGTCGCCAAAGTTGAAGAACCGGAATTAAAACACTAAAGCGAATCAATCCCTCAGAGATTCAACTACCATTAATATGTACAACATGCGCCAAGAACAAAAAGGCTGAAAGTATACCCCGACGCGAGCATTCACACAGCGAGATTACGAGAGCATAATTCGAGGTGCACTAGCTCGATAAGCTAGCGTCAAGAACAATGTGCAGAACTGTGCTTATTGTCGATCTTGAGTAACTCGTATTTAGGCTGTAATCTATTTCATTATGCATCTTGGACTATCTTCTCTATCCAGTCTTTCACCTTTGCTGCCATTGTTTCACTGTGGTCTGCGTCATGTTTAGTTAGCAGACATTTCCCGAACGCTCCCCATCTTGTCAACCACTTTCAAAGTACTCACTGATACAAAATCCATGATCAATACCCTCCCCATCAATCATCATAATAGGCTTATTGTTTTCCTTGATCGAAAATGAGGAGGCGGAAGAGGCTGATACCGACACGGGAGAAGCTCGTGCAGCAATGAGTGCATCGCGAGTATGAGATGCTACCCAGTGATCCTGTTCCCTCTCAGCATAGTTTCACGAGTATCAGGCTCGAAACATACATTTTCCCCAAAATAAAAAATGAGGTTAGGTGGAGAAGACTGAGACGATTCGGAATGCTCCACACCCCAGATCTCCGAATCCCATTTGTCATCTGTGATGATGTTCATTTCGTCACGTGCAAGATGTCTGAAGACTTCATCAGTGTTGTCATGATCCAGGGGCAGATGAACATACAGTGCTTGCCAAATACCATTTTTACTTCTCAAAAAGCTCGTGGTGACTTTCGCTGCCTCCTCTGGCATTCCCGTGATCTTCTTCACGAGGAAATCCAAAATAACATTCGGAGCACAATAAAGAAGCATTTTAGCCGTAGAAGAGGCCAAGACAGGAAAGTTCGGAATCGACATTAGAGGCGTAAGTTTTGCACCAGAAGGGGAGTGGGAAATGTGAGTGACTGTTGGAAACAGAAGAATTCCTGACAAACCTGCAGATATAGAAGGGATTTCAGCCGGCGCGATGAGTTTGGAAAGAATTTCCAAAAGGATATATGATCCAACCTAGAAACTTAGAACAAACTTTCCATGGAAGCTTCGTAAACTCACTGAATGCCCTATCAAGATCACGTTTTTGTATGGTGTGGATGAACCACTTATCTGTTCTAATAGGCAATCATGAACAAGATTTATTTGTTGTTCCAACGAATATGGATTTTGGTTGGGGGACTCAGAGGGGACATCGTCTGTCTCAAAACCAGCCAAGGATTGGCCAAATATATGGTAGGTATCCGAATTCTTGGTGGGCGAGGAAGACAGGAGATCGTTGAGAAGTGAAAGAAAGGTCGAGCTACGGAAGTGTTAATAGAGGTACATATACACATGATGATAGATTATCATACTAGTAACCTATCAATCCTGGGTTGCCTGTGATAAAGAAGATCAGATGATAGGTAGCGTCGGGAGAGTCTGAAACGGGACGGTATGAGATTTGTTGAGGCATCGTGTGTGCAATTTTGTATGATACTATAGAACAGCGATTGCCAAAGAGTGAATTCCTAATTTTGTAAAATCTGAAAGTATAGAAACAATCCGAGATGAGTCTCCCTTGATCTACACTTCGGAGATTCAGGTACGCAAATTACGGTGGCCGAAATAAACACGCGTTGAGGTCGAGGATTGTAGAACCGGCCACCGTATATTACACGTGAGCAATAGATCATATCTGGCTATTTTTTTAAGAACATCTAACGTGATTCATATGCGAGTGGATCATATCACCGAATGGATCACTTTCACCTTACTTTATTACTTTAAATTTGTATTATTCAACAACAATCGAATCAATTAATTAAAAGAATTATTAAAGATCTACTAATTTAGAATTTATTATAACTGTTACAGGATTACTTCTGAGAGTGTGACACTTTGCCTTAGAGGAACTGTATTAGCAGAACACAATTTATCCTTAGAATCTACAATTACAGAATCGGGAGCAAAGCACTCGTAAAGCGCTCCTATATACTGGCTATACACATGTGATTGTGCACATACACAGACACGCACATAAGCAATCGTATTACGATTGAGTGCGATTCGTGATATATAGATATATAATTACATGATATATAGAGTATAGATTTACTACGTTTGCTTCTACGAATCCATAAACTAATTAAATACATAAACATAGTTTAATATCTAATTTTAGCAAACTTAATAATTTGATATTTTTTTGCGATTTTCAGAAGATTGTTATTTAATAATAAGATTAAGCGAGATCGTTATTTACAGATATGTTATATTTTGACTTCCAAATTTCCTTCGTAAACAAGAAGCATCTCAACCAAAACCAACACAACATCCATGACTCAAACTTACCATACTAAATAATTTCGAGTGCGTGTGAGTGCGAGAAAATTCGGAAAATATGGCCAGCACGAACGCTGCAGACTTGTTCTACCTCTCACAGGTCCCACCAACAGCTTCCCGGAACCCAGGCAGCAAGATCTTCACTTCCATGTTTGATAAATACATGGTAGTGCCTTCTTCTAAAGATGATAGTGTGTATCTTGTTTTTCCAGTAAGCTACACGACGACGTTGCGTGACGATGAGGGGAAAGAGATAGATGGCAGCTTCGAAGACTCGGAAGACTGGGATGAGATTCAGTGGGCTGCGGGCGTGTATGAGCACTTGCGAGGCAATCACCCTAAATTACTTGAGTACGTCTCACTTATCTCAGATTTTTGAAAGCGAAGATATAGTTCCGGCTAATTAGAAAACAGATTCAAGGGCCGTGACCCCTATGGCTACCTTCTGTCAAAATCCTCCATTGGCCCCCTAACCTTTGCACTACACTCCCATCCCACCTTCACTACTAGCCCCCTCTCCCTCGCGCTCATCTACCGCTGGGCATTCAACACACTCTCCGCGCTGCAGTACCTTCACTCACGCGACGTCGTGCACTACGAGTTCTGCTCAGAGGCGCTCTGGCTGGAGCCTGATCTCTCGCTCTCCATGCTCGGTCTCTGGGGCGCGCATGTAGGGCACTATTGCCCCACTACAGGCAATCAGATGACTGATATCAGGCTTGAAGAGCGATTTGTGAGTTTTCAGACAGATTTGCTCGATTGGGCGTCGTGGGTGTATGGGCTTGTGACTGGAGAGGGGGCGTTGGCTGTGTTGGAGGGGCTTGAGGGTGAACCAAATGAGATGGAAGAGGAGAGGAGGAGGGCAATGGCCGCTAAACAGTTCCCTGTGCTTGGGAAGGAGATGTTGGGCGCGGTGGTGGGGAAGTGCTGGAAGGGCGAGTACGCTTCTAGTATGGAGGCTGTGGACGAGTTGAAGGTTTTCTTGGAAAAGATGGGGTTTGAGTGGGAGGGAAATGGTGATTTGGTTGATTTTGATAACGCGCCGTATGAGTACTTGAAGGTATTCGATAACCCTTATCTGAAATTAGATGCCTGATAGAGATATCACACGAATATCAAGCAAAGGTTTCCTTCTGAAATAGTGAGAAAATGGAAGCGATTATATCCAAGAGATTGTCAGGAATTCCATGTCAAATTAGTGTAAGTGCTCTTTGATATTAAACTATATGAGAAATTGACATTCTAGGTCACAAATCCTTGCTTAAAAATGTTCAACCCCATTACACCAATCGCCCAGAATAGGAAATCACTAACTTCAACACCAAATAGGTTTAGAGAAACTAGTAAATAATACAATTTGTACATTGTCTCCATTACAATCAAACATCACTTATTCTGTAGTAGTATAATGAGTATACCCAGTCCACAATCCATTACAATCCCTATTTAACACCGGATTCCATATATATAGATTTGTGAGCGTTATGCAGGCTGCTGTAGCTATATCATAACAATATACGTCGGTAGTCTACAGCACATATTTCTTATATATGGCCATGATGCCTATTTACACGGATTCTGGTGGTATAATACTAATGCAATACACATATCCACCTTATAATCCAAACCAATCACCATTGAAAACTAGGTTTCAGTAGTAGAATTGCACAAGCATAATCAATACTACGGTTGCTATGTCGTAGTAGTATAAATTTAAGGGTTCAAAGAATATACTTGGAATAGGCCGCGGGGATGCCAACTTGGGTCAGGCCAGGAAAAGTTACAGTTTGCGTCTTCACCCGCAGCGTCTTCGGGTGTTGGTTGGCCTTTGTATTAAATGTCGAAGACACGTCACCTCTCTGTCAACGGACCTTACCGCAATCGTGGTAACTCATTGAGGAGTCAATGGTATCCAATACACAGATTCTCGATGTCAGTACATTGAAAAGGGATACCCGCTGCGATATTGCAAGCTCTCATTTCGGGCTTCGCGGCGCTATCAAAGAGTATGTAGTACAGAGAGCTGGAATTGTGACTCATGGTAGTTGCAAATATCGCTTCTGATCGCGGATTCGTCAGATCAACAGCCTTGTCCATTCGTTACTAGGGAGATGCTAATGTGTACAGCGCTGTTGGAGCCATGCTTTGAGCTTTTCCCCTCCAATTTGGCTCTGAAGGGGCTCGAGCTGGAAATTGAAAATTCTCCAGTGAAACGGGTCACTAGAATCGAAGAGTATTCATTGTAAACCCCCCCTCCCTCTCTCTCTCGCGCGCGCGTAACTACGTGTCAGCATGGGCAAACGTTTGCGAACTGTGATGGATCATGGATTATGTAAAGCCCTTTACTCATGTTGCTCGTATCTGATATCGCAAGACAAAAGAGGTAAAATCCGCAGCTAGATGAAATCGATTATTATGGTTATTGAGATAAGTAGTTAAAACAGACGGGGTGAGTAGTTAGATTCAATAACCCCGGCATTAATACCGTGGGGGCTAAGCAAGTGTATTTTCTCAAAAAGATTGATTTTCCCGACAGAACCACCAATGAACAACAAAGACTTCCAAGTATGAGCCACAAATCTCAAGCCACACCCGAAAATGGTCTTTTACGAGTCACGGTGATGTAAAATCTCACAGCATTGCTCGTCGATCAAAATTCCCGCCATAATTACTAAAATCAATCACAGTGAAATTTATTTCCCTGTCCACATGACTTCCAGGATGGAAGTAAGGGAATCTCCCAACTTCACGGCGTTCTTAATCTCGAATCGCTCATCCGCCTCCCGAAAAAGCTCTCTCCAATCTTCCATAGATTTCTCCCGAGAGCCAAAATATGAAAGCATATTCAGATTCATCGTTCTTAATCACTCTTCATCAGTAACATCACATGGGAAACGGAGAACTAAACTCACCGAAGTCTTCTCTCCTCATGCCATGGAAGCTCTCCTGACTCCACCAACAATGGCTCCACGATAAGTAACCTCGATCCCTTCTTCAGCGCGGGTATTTGATTTCGCAAGATTTTGATACAATAATGATCCGTCCAGTTGTGGAATATAGCACGGAAGAATACCACATCGATATTCCGAAGAGTCTGTGGAGTCAACATGTCGTACGCCATGAAGTTTATTCGATCTGAGATCTCAGCTGGCACGTATGTTGGTCCTTCTGCGATTGCCCCTGCGAAGTCCTGTACAATGAACTTCAAGTCGGGGAATTTTTTTGCTAGGCTAATGCTGATAGGTCCATACCCTCCGCCAACATCAACTATGGTGGCGGACCCAAGACTCCTCCAGTCGTAGCGCTCACATAACAACGAAAGATCATTTCTGGAAGTGAATGCGCACATCGCGTTCGCAAAACGCCTACCTCGAGAGGGATGAGCACTCAATTCTTCATAAAGACCTTTGTTGGTTCGATGGCCAATGCTGTATCCCTACGGTACCAATTATGTGAGCACATTTCATACCACAGAAATCATCTTCAAAGTTCTGACAGTCTATCAAAAATGAAAGTGTTGGTGTCCTCACAGTTTGGTTGGGCTCTTTTGCATACCCAAATTTCTGCACCGCCTCGACCGTCTATAACACGATTAGTGTCGGAGCTATTAAGCGTTACCTAGAAAAGAAATTACATGTGCAGCAGCCTGAAATCGTTCCTCGGTGACAATTCCGACATAATCCGTCAACAAAGGGTCGGACGCTAGAAGTTTGGACGCTGCTGTATGGGCTACTACTCCAGGCCGAACCTCTTTGAAGATGTGATTCATCATCGCATATCCCAAGATTCTGCGAGTATCAGTCACGTTCAAGCCACACTTTTCAGATATCTGTTCATAGGTCGCTTCGCCGTTTATTGGGAAAGTGTTGACCATGTCATATGCATATATGAATTGCAAGCTCATACTATCCATTGCCTAAGCATTTGAGTTTAGCTAAGTTGAATTTTTTATAGAACTGCCAAGTTTACGAACCGACGTGCCCATCAAAGCTGCTGTAGGTCCTAACATGAGATGATGAAGTTCCATGGTTGCCTTTAGCACCTCCGCATATGCCGCAGCAACCTCTCTTTCATGAGATGGAATGATTATCCGAGAAGGACCGGAAATATCAAAGGACGGTATCGGAAGCTTGTTTCTCAAGAAGTATTCATTTACAATAGCAGTACAACTCGAGATAGTGGTTGCAAGCACTGTGATCTGTGACGGAGAGGCCATTATGTCGATCGCCGGAGCTTGAGTGCGTGCGTAACAATTGGCGTCTTAATTGTATAGAGATTGGATGGATGATTTATATTGATACACTCAAAAAAGCAGAGTAACCCTGAAGCTCTCATAGACAATATTGATGAGGAAAGGGGTCTCCTTTTTCTGCCTAAGTGGAGTGAAGCAAGAAAACTTCCAACATTTCCTCGATGGATGAGATCCAATCATCCTTTGTGGCGGTGACAATAAACCAAAGGTAATTTCATGATCAATGCAGTGTTTTGGAGGTATCATTCTGTTACCAAGCATTTTGGATGTCTTTTTGTTAGATACAAAACTTCTTCACAAATGTGGTGGGACTCAAAGTATATAACCGAGCTAACCGAATTGGCTCTACCAATGCCGAGCCGCTAGTCTTTCCGCCCCAGCGAGCCCAGGAACTTGGAAAGCGGTAAGGGGCCGAGCCAATCAATGATGTCATGTTTAAATTCCCAACATTTATAAAAATGTTTGTTCGCCGATTTTCTGTCATTTTTAGAAAGCAAAATAGATTGAATTTATCAATTTTTTGATACGTCCTCCAATCGATTGCCTGTCGATATGCTTCAGTACGGATGGGCTTTAGCCTTACTGGCCGTTCCGGCAGTCTCTTCATCACAAATCCCACTTCGTGTTTCACAAGATTATTCCGCGAACTCTCACACTCAGGATTACAAATTCGATCCTCTCCTTCATCTGCCCGGTATAAGTCCATATTTCGATGCAGTTGGCCCAGGTCTTAATCACAAAGCACCTCGCCTCTGCGAAGTCACAGCTGCATCGTATCTTGTCAGACATGCCGCAATTTATGCGAATGACGATGATTACGAAACCTACATCGAACCATTTTTGGAAAAATTGGATACTACATATACCACCAAATCAGGAAAGAAAAGGAAAGGATGGACTGGCCCGCTCGCATTCTTCGAGAAATGGCAAACTCCTATCGATGATCCAAAGAATCAAATGGAACAAATTACTCCTCAAGGAATCAAAGACTCGAAAAAGGTCAGCAAACATTTGTTGTCAAGATATCCCGAATTAGTGCCCACAACGAAACGAATCTATGCCGATAAAAAGTCGAGAACACAAGATACGGCCAAGGCATTCGGTAGTGTCTTTCCACAAGAAGTCGAAATCGTCGAGATTGGAACAAATCGATCGTCTTTTCATTCCCAAGTCCCACATAAAGCATGCGATGCATTTACCAAAAAACCTGGAGACGAAGAATTACAAACTTTCCTCGCAAAATATGCACCGTCGATCATCGCAAGACTTCAGCAGTATTCACCAGTCCAACTTGGGAATTATGATATAATGGGGTTGCAGCAGATGTGCGGGTATGAATCTGCTATCACGGGCAAAATTTCCAAGATCTGTGATGTTTTCACAGACGATGAATGGATGGCTTACGAGTATGCGTGGGATATGAAATATTCACGCATGGTGGGTCATGGAAATCCCCTTTCGCCTTATTTGGGATTTCCTTGGCTAAATACCACGGCGCATCTATTCTCCAAATTTCACGCGCCTCAACATTCCGAGTCTTCCGGTGACGGGATTCCCGATGACGACGGCCAAAGATTTTTCTTATCTTTTACCCATCGCGAAGTTCCTCCTTTCATAGCCACCGCCCTCGGTCTCTTCAATTCCTCCAATGAATTTGCCGAAGAATTTCCAACCGATCGTATCAATTGGTCTCGATCATGGAAAATGTCCGAACTCATCCCATTCTTAGGTCATGTTGGGATTGAAAAACTCACATGTAAAGGATTGAAAGGTGATGCTGATGATGAAGACGATGTGCAGGAATTTGTGAGGATTATTGCCAATACCGCCCCAAGGCCGATTCCCGAATGCCAAGGTGGGCCCGGCGCTTCTTGTGAGTTCCATCAATTTGTAGAGATTGTAGAGAGGGGAATGGGGATATACGGTGATTTCGATGGCGTTTGTAAAAATAAGAAAGAGGTTCCTAAAGATCAGTATTAGATTACGAACTCAGAAGAGGATCTAAACTTGTATTTATAGACCTTAGACTCTAACAAGAGTAATGTATAATATCAGAGATTAAGAATTCAATTAATTGTCGACATGATGATATATCGATTTAAAAACAAAACATGTGTTTCGTATACATGAGAGTTTTGCGTGGGGTAGAGAAGACTTGCAACATTCTAACCCGTTCTTTGAAATGATTCTAGATAATTCCAAACACGATAGATGTGCAACAAAACAATCTATCAAACACTGAAAGTCACGAGATATTTGAGAGAAGATTCGTTTATTGCTTCTCGAACACTCGATCTTATCGTTCTCGAACATTCAAACGTGGGAACCAACTAGGCGTTCACAGAAAAACATAATCACATCCTGCCGCAGTTTCTAAAATTAAACCTTCGATTTCTGATTCTACCATTATTGGCTCTTGTATACAACGACAAATATTTCAAGGCCGCACGGCGAGTTCAAAGATATGCCTACACTTTCCAGCCAATAGCATACACATAATGACCCTTCTTATCGAGGAATATCGACAGCGAATTGGACGATAGCGACATAGAAAAATTTATGATCTTCATAAAATAAGTATATCTCCGATCCTGGGTGCGATCCTGCTGATCTATTTGCTCCAAGCAAGAACGAACCAGTATTTGATCAGTGCTTGAGGCATTTAGGTTGTCTATCTTTTGTTTTGCGAGTTTGATTGATGTTTGTTCGGCTTCTAGATTTTTAATACCCCAAGTGTTCTTCTAGAGTATTTTGATGTGTTCGTTTTACTGTCGTGCTCTTTATTACCGATCACTTCCATGATCATTTTATTTCACTTCTTCCTAGGAGGCTCTGGGAAGAACTTTCAGACTTTATATATATAAGGTTCTGCCAGCGTTGGATTGGAATGCGTAAAGATATCATTCTGGACAATTTGGGAATACATCAATCTCGGAAAGGTCAGTACGGTGTTGAGGATGTGAACCCCTTCATCGTATGTGCACAGACCACTCCATCACTTTCGTTGAACTTCACAATTGTGGCAGGACACACCTGGACCCCTCAACTTTTGTATCTTGTTCAGAACGGGTCCTTTCTATAAGTGAGAGATAGAACCCCATAATCTTAAAGCACATGGAGACTTCGCGTACCATATCTATATGCTGTCTAGTGAATGGCACATTGCGGGCCAGCTGAGTGCCCAAATACAAAGGTGGGCTCAATATTCAGGGGTGAAAGGAAAACTTTAAGCCAAATTGGTAGTAGGTTAGAGCTCATTAACTACTTTGGCAACAATAATGCTTGTAAGCACATCAGATGCGAGCCGATTTTATGATTTTGTGCTGATTTAGTGTGTCAATGCAGGTACCAAATTAGTGTCATCTCATGTTCTCCAATAACGTGGTGGACATTAGATCTATCCATTCCATCGGGTACCCCGGGTCCATAAGGGTCCAGTCCTACAACATCGTGAAAAAAGCCTTCGTGAAGATGTTTCTTGGCTCGGCTGAATTGGTCTAGTATAATGGTGCGAGAAAACGTTCAATAGTTCGAACAACGAGGTTGTATAATTAGGCATGATATATAGTTGATATGCTGCACGTAGAATCTTTTTTTCTCGTTTCTCGCGTTGTGTCTACACTCTTTGACAATCGTTAAAATGAAGTCGTTTGCTTGTTTCTCGGTCATTCTTTTGGCGCGTTCTGTGGTATCGGAGAACATTCCTTTTTGTGCTCCAGCTCAAGTGAAATATTGTGTATTGGTATGTTGGCAGATCTGAATATTGATATAGTGTGGCTGATTGTAAAACAGGACGATTGTCTGCAATCATTAACCAATCAAACCACTTCGGGACCTCGGTTCTGTGGCGAATATATAGAAAATGACAGCATCAGTATTCCCGATTATATCCCAGCTGCAGCTCCAGCATCTCGTATATCATCTGCATGTTCTTGTTTGATTCAGGCTCAGCCTACCGCAAAACCTACCGCGCAGTCGTCATACGCTCCAGGCTCTATCGGTCTTTCAGTCTCTACCGAATCATTTCTTTCTCTCCAGACGTCTGTTCCAACTATTTCCTCCGCCATAGCGTCCGTAGTCCCTGTATCTTCCCCAAGCACTCCGGAGGCAGGGAACGAATATACCACCTCGATCATATACTCTCTCTCCACTTATACTACTCATTTGAGTGGACAATTAGTAACCAAAACCCGGTCTGTGGTCGATTCTACCACAGTTCACCCTGTCACCCATGAGATTACACAAAGCCCAAGTCCCAAATCAACGGCACCTGTTGAATATACTACATCGATAGTGTACACCCTTTCTACTTACACAAATCCAAGTGGTGAAGTTGTTACTAAGACAATTGTAGACTACACAACAATTTGTCCCGTCACCACTAAAAGTACCTCAACATCCCAAGCACTGGGAGAGTTGGCTAGTGAAAGCACAACTGCATATGAGACATCAACAGTTTATAAAATTTCGACATACACGACCCTTGGGCAGACAAGCACAAAAACTTTAGTAGATTATTCAACCGTCCGTTCTATCACAAAGGCATTGTCCCCAAGTCTAACTTCAACTCCCAAGTCGATTGTTGAGTTAACAACATCAACTGTATATTCGCTCTCTACTAGAACATACACGTCCAGCGAAAATACTTTTACGGTAACAGATACCGTCGTTGATTATACGACTGTTTGCCCTATCACAAAAAAGTCTTCCGCAACTCCAGAACCAACAGTTCAATATAGGACCTCAACAGTCTATGCCCTTTCAACCAGCACGTATATTACTAGCGGAAAAGTTGTTGCTGTAACTAATACCGTGGTTGATTATACAACTGTCTGCCCTGTCACCCTGTCAGCATCTTCAACTCAGGACCTGGCATCGCTCACTACGTTCCCTTCGAGCTCATCCACTGAGAGTGTAAGTCTGACTTCAGCTTCCGACATTTCGACTGTTCCCTCATCCGTATCTGTTTCAGCATCGGCTTCCAGCAGCTCAATCGTAGTCCAGTCAACAAAACCAAGATCGCGCCACTCCCGAACAAAGTGCACAAAGGCTTCGCACTCTACACAAAGCTATCTGTTCGGAAATTCCACATCTTTACACCGACCTACTGGGACTGGAAGCTCGATCCCTCTTATATCTGGAACTGCATACTCATCATCAATCAAGTACCCAATGAGTAACTCCACAACATCCGACCTCTCTCAAGGAACTGTTTCTTCGACTTCCCATCAAGTGACGGACTCCACCCGATTGCAATTTCCTTCAGGAACTGGATACTCAGTATCCTCAACAGCTTATGTGATTGTAAATTCTACAAGCTCGGATGCTCCTTCGGGAACCGGATATCAAGCTCCAGCGAATTCCACAACCACGGAAATTCTCCCAACCAGCACTTCCACTTTAGAGATCGATAGCAGTACTTCAGAATTACCAGAAACAACTGAGATTCCTATCACAAGCGCTCCATCTACAACATCAAGTCCTGTAATTCCTTCTGTAACTGCATTTTGTAGTACAGACGCGGCTGCCTTGGTATTTGCAGCAGCTGGTACACCGGTGACATCTTACTGTAGCAGTCTGCTCTCCATCCAGCCAACTTACGCAGATGAACAATACCTCTTCCTCACAAAGACCACTTTAATCACAACCACCACCACCGTCAGCCCCGCAACTGTCACCGTTTTCAAGAGAACGACAAGAACTGACTCATATCCATTCACATCAACATATGATTTGGCTCAACAATCATCAGCTTGTAGCTGTCTCTCAATCCAACCAGCCGTGATCGCCGAGACTGTAACAATAACAGTTCCCGCAACATCCTTGGTCGTTGTCTCGACCACAATTCCAGCTTGCACTCCATCACCTACCCAAGCAGTTGTCAATGGTGATTTTGAAACCGCAACATCGGGATCTTACCAGACGCCATGGGTTCTTAGTAGTTTGGCTTATGTACAATCTGATGCCAATGATGCATTTAGCTCATATGCTGGCGACGAGTTTGCGTAAGTTCCACTTCTCCCTCTTGACTCTTCACCTAATAACCGAACGCAAAACTAATATCTTCTAGCGTTCTCATTGGTCAAAGAGCAAGCACAACCACCATATCCCAACAAATCGATGCCCTCATCCCCGGCCAATCATACACTCTTAGCTATTACATGTCAGTCATGGGAATCATCACTTTGCCAACAGCTTCTTGTGTATTATCTGCTTCCGTGGGAGAAATAGTCGTCGATACACTGACCGTTACGTACTCGAATATAGCGAGTTATAGAACTGGCTATTCGCAACGTTCGGTAACGGTAGTTCCGACAACACAGTCGGCGCAGTTGAAAATTACTTGGCAGTGTAATAGTCAAATTACCATTAGCGCGGATCTTTTACTAGATAATATTTCGATGGCTGGCGGGGGTAGGAGTTGTGGTGTGCCTACTTAGGAGTCGGTAGTTGGAAAAGTGGTAATGAGGTTTAGAATAAATAATTATTAATATGTGTTTTGATCACCTGGCAATTTCGCTCGTAATTACTCTGTGCTTTATGGCTAGAGCGATCCATCTCCCCGTTTATTCTCGCAATACAATTTGTACAATTCCCATAATTTTGATGCCATAAAAATCCGTGTGTATATCGTTTTTAGTGCACGACAGTCTATATCTTTCCTTCATAATATCTGGATCAATGGGGTTGAAATTCTCGAGCACTCATTTCATGATTTCTAATACTTATCAATGATCAATAAATTAAATCAGAACCACTATCAAATCACAAACACGTTTATATTATCGAAATAATAACTGTTTATCCAAACTGATCCTCTCATCAACCATCAACCTCCATCTTTACATTTCGGCCCTTCTGTGAAGACCCAGGATATTTCAGAAAGGCATCTATTCCTGGAATTTAAATACCAGTTATGACTTACCCCGTTGAAACATACAAACTGTCGCCAATATCCCACACACCAATGACGCGGAATGTATGAAAGAAAAACCTGGACCGACTTTCAAATTCACATAGACGGATACCAAGCTGTTTCTTTTCCAGAACGCTGGGACTATCACATTGCATTTTTGGATGCATGGGTTGGTAATTCTTCCTATGGCTTGGGATAAATAGTCAGCTATTCATGCTCACTGGATAATATCGCGTAGCTAGGGAGAACGAAGCGGGGAAAATGAACGAACATCCCCGTGAAATGAAGTCTGATTTCAAGGAACGTGGATCGATAGATTTCTCAATTTCAGAGCCAATGGAGCGATTCTTTTACCGTTATTTTTGTTTGTTTTACTGAGTTGAGTTTTGGGATGCGTGGATGCTTTACTAGCGTCGAATTCTGTTGGGCAGAGTTGGCTTTCCTCGACTAGCCTTTTGAGGGAACCGACAACAATATAATTTGAGACTTTCGGTGGTCTTGAAATAATTTTGGCATTATCTAAGATCTTTGAAAGGGATAGTCTGATATACATTGTTCTTGGTTGATTGTGGCTTCTTGGATTCAGTCCGGATATGTGATGCATTTTATCCGCCATAGGCTTGTGCTTTTGAGTGGAAGTCAGATGCCGTTTTTCGTTGTGTGACAGGGTATGTTCATTCGTATCCGAGTGGATTGGGAGCTCGTGAAACTCCCTGTCGAGACTGGATTGAAATCGTTTTGTTTTTTGGGCTGACGGTCGAATCGGCAGTTGTTATGTCTGCCGTTCTCGGCACAGCACAAGCCCAAATTTGATAGAAACAAGTTCTGAAGTATATATTATACCAACGGATTGGGTATATCCCATGAATCCAAAATCTGGCTCAAGGATTAATAAAATTGATCTATCATCCCCATTATGAAGTGTAGTACTAGATTAGTTGAAATTTCCCGCTGTCAAAAGGTGGCTGAGCTAAATTTAGAACATAACCAGGATTATGATTTGCCTCGGAAATGTAAGGCTTCTAGAAACATGTGGCGCGATCAACGTCAATCTACCAACATACCATTTTCCAATTGTACTCTACGTCGTCTTCAGAAACATAGGAACACATAACACATATTCAGACGGATTCTCGTTCAAATGAACACTATTCAGACTGTTCATTTTTCGTTTCACTCGCACATTTAGGCTAATATCATGACAGGACATGTCTCATTATTATCACGCCATTGTTGGAATCAAACATGTTATTCATTATTTTGTTGCTCTGAATGATGGGATGGTTACATGAGATGAACCTCGCTAGGAGTCCCAATACTACCAGACCTCAAACCTTCCTCTGCTTTGCCTCTATCTACATTCATCCCATCGAATCGATTTGGGTATTTCCCCTTTCAGTACAGAACCTTTGTACTTTCTCCAACGCTATGTTCCCAACCACAATATACACACTTCCTACAATCAGGTCTCAACATTTTCCATTCCCCACATGTTACACACCTTCTAGCCAATACATCTCTTTCAACCTTGTCCGCTACAAAGTTGAGATCATCATCGTACCAGCGCAACAATCCTGCCCATCTTCCCTTGTATTTGCCACTGGCCATTGCGCTTTTCAAATGCTCAGCAGACAGTTTCTTGACCTCATCAATAGTCTCCTGAGATAGCTTAGCATGCGGAGGTCCATTCAGCATCTTAATGACCAGTTTGCTGAAAGTAATATATTCCTCTTTATTGGAACCCCAATCCCACGTTGTAAGAAACTCATGTACATTTTGCAGATTCAATCTCTTGGCGTTTTGAAATTTCTCGTTTCCGGTTCCGCATAAGTACTGCCAGATAGGTCCTATTGGTCCGGTCTGTGGAGATCGCATACACATGTAGTTGAAAACGTTCATGCGTTGATTGTTGGGAACACGGTCTTTGCAAAAGTCTTCGTACTTTTGGAATAGATCCTTCCTGACGGATGAATCCTTCCCTGAGAGATAGTTCTTCGTCATTTCCGCAGCATATATACTGGTGCTCATGTTCGCGTTGATGCCGGGGGAGTATAGTGGATTGGTAAAACCAGTTGCATCACCAATGGCCAGCCAATTGTTTCCAGTAACTCGTGGGGCGCGGAATGCCAGATTCTTGCGTACGAACCATGTAGTTCCAGGGCCGTAGAGATCCTCGATAAGCTTGTGCTTTTCCATTAATTGGGCGACTTTCTGGTATCGAGACACAATCCAATTGAACTTCTGTTCCGCCTCGCTACCTCCGAAGCTGGAAAGATTTTCTGGATAAATAACATCGGAACGAAGTGCAAATCCAATGCTAACAACCCAACGAAACTTGACTTGGAATCTCGCAACTAATTCAGGAACTGAAGGATATGAGTCTGCTGGTGCTTTGGCCGCATTAAGATCCAACAGATGATTGATCATGGCTGTAAGGTTAGGGATAGAGCTACCCTCCCATGAAGGAAGTCTAATGACCCAAGCCCATCTGAAAAGATTGTATTAGCTTGTGTTGTTCAAATAAATCTCGAAGACTGAAACATACCCTTCAGGCAGACATATATGGTTGGTGTTGACACTTTCGTAATGTCTCAATGGTATATCGGACTCATCTCCTAGTTGTTCAAAGTACGCCCAGTACGCATTCGTATTGAACCCTTCTACACGTTCAATACGCGCCTCTTTTGAGATGAAGCGATGGAATCGACCTGTAGCATCAACTACCAGCTTTGCGTCCACAGATTCTTCCACCATTGTCTCGGAGTCTCGTACTCGAAGAGACATTCCATCACTCTCGTCTGTTACCGTGTACTTCTTATCAATAATGACCTCTCTTCCATGAAGTACTGTTATTCCAAGACGTTGTGCATAGAGTGTGAGCATCAACTCGCTAATCTTTCTCTCAACTTGGAGTGTTGGTACGAAATCTGCAGGAGGTCCGTTGGCGACAAATTGTGTGTAATCTTCTGGATCGCCTTCGGCGGAAAAGTAAAAAAATGCCAAGCCATCTTTCGGTCCAAAAAGTCTTGAAAGCATCGGAGTTTGGATCCCGACAGTTTTAAGCCAAAGTCCAAAAACTGTTAATGTTGACTCGCCGATTTTGTAGGTTGGGCTGAGGGACTTTTCTAGGATGGTCAGGGATGTGGGATTTCCCTCTATGATATAAGTTAGCAAGTGCATGAGAACCGGTGCTGGTCGATGAATGATCTCTATCCCTTGAAATCTTTGTCATATTGGCGCCAAGATTCCAGGAAGATAAAATCGTCAAAAAATGTCGGCGAGATATCCTGGGCATGGAGATAAGAATGGTAGATTCAACTTACTTCCATTTTGGAGCTCCAAACTCCTTGCGTGAATTGCATATATCAAAGCATGGATTCCTCCACCGACCACAACAACGTCAGAACTTTGCGGAAGTTTATTACCACATGAGTTGTGTGAATTTAAATACGCAGTGTCTGAAATTTGTTGACTAGTTGTCGCGACAAGACCTGCTAAAAGATGAAAAAGTTTGAGACCCATCATTCTTTGCAAAACAGCATTGCGTGCATCTTGGTCGAAATCCAAGCTTGGGTTTGCTTTTGTAGCCATAGTTGTCCAGGGTTTACGGCTCAAAATTAATGTTGGGGTAGTGAATGGTCAACAGTATGAGGTTGAATCAATCAGAGAAAGATTCTCTTGTGTTACAATGCGGCTTGCATACATTCAAATATATATGATTTAATGTTTGATATCCAACGCCAAGCATTGTCATCTACTTTTACATTGCCTCTAAGATCGATCTCGATGATAGACGTCGCACCCCATTGTTAGAATGATCGTACAAGATTAAAGTAAGCTGGAGGCGGGAATCTTTGCCAAGGATGGGAGTTGTACAATCGAGTAGTCGACATGGTAACACATTGATGTCAAGAAAATATCACCGTATATTAAAAACAAGTAGACAATGTCATACTTGAGACTCAAAATCCAAATTCCATCCCACTTTCCCATGCTTTAGGCGCTGGTATCATACATCATATCAAATACCCTCATATCAGACAGTTTGTGGAGTGACGAGCTGTTCATATTGTGATCAATGCCTCGGCTCCCCATCATAAAACGAGTTGACCATCCGCCTCATTTTTGCCCACTTTATGTCAGTTTATTATGGATCATGGTTAAATTTAGCCTTATCTTGTCTCTTTCGGGTTACAATAGATATTCCCCAGAAGTTTTGGACCCATGGTCTCGGGGCTGTCTCGAAGCATTGATCATTCCATGAACAGTCCTTTATCAGAAAGCTCTTAATAATCCTCTATTCACCTCGTTTGGATTTTGGAAAGGGGCAGGGCAGACGCTTACCAGATAACATTTTGATTTTAATTTTGTGTTGGAATTAGACCGACTCTACATTCACTTTCGCCGGTGAATGGAAACTTGATTTCTTTCCTAACCCCATTCTCTCCATTTTTGTATATTACTTAATTTAGCGACAGTGCCGTAGGGCGTTTCCCTTGGTAGTTTATAAAAATACTTTAAGTCATGCTTTCTTGCACCATCTAGCTCCAGATTATGCCATCTTCTTGAATACTATTGAAGATGTTTAAATTTATCATGCCCGTTCGACAATACCATGTCGCTGATTTACCCGTTCGATGCGCAGCAGCTTCGCTTCAAAACTACACTCGTGGCTTTCACAAGAAGCAACAGTTTCTAGGAAATTCCAGAAGAAGTTTATCAACTCATGCCATTTCTAAGCCCAAGTCCTTTCAAACAGACATCCAGTCTAAAATTTATCACAATGAGAACCCTCCGATATCCCAAAAGAACATTCTCTGGGAACCATGCGGCCGGTAAAGGTCATAAGCATCGGAGCAGGAGTCAGCGGTATCAACATGGCTCGAGCTTTAAAACGACACGGCACCAACATCGAACATATAGTCTATGACAAGAATCCTGAAGTTGGTGGTACATGGTATGAAAATTGTTACCCCGGATGTGCATCCGACGATCCTTCCCACAATTATCAATTCTCTCACACACCAAATCCTGGTTGGAGCTCCCTCTTTGCACCAGCGAGCGAAATACAAGGTTATTTACAAGATGTGTGTAGCAAGTATGATTTGAAAGATCGTATCAGATTGTCTCATAAGATTGTTCATGCGCAATGGGATGAGGGATCTGCAGAATGGGTGTTGAAGATTGAAAATGAGGTTACTGGTGTGATTTTTGAAGATCGGTGTCATTTTTTGCTCAATTCGGGTGGGATGTTTAAGTAAGTTTGGTTCATTCTTTGAGCATTGCAAACGTGGCTAATGGAGAATAGTAATTGGAAGTGGCCAGATATCAAGGGTCTACACTCTTTCAAAGGAGATCTCGTTCATTCTGCAAAGTGGCAGAAGGATGTAGATCTCAAGGATAAGAGAGTAGCCGTTATTGGAAATGGTGCATCTGGTGTTCAGATTGTACCAGTTCTACAACCAGGTAAGATCACCCGGTGGTGAAAGAAAAGATATTGTAGCCAGCTTCTGACCACAGAATAGAAGTCACAAAGCTTTCCCACTTCGTTAGGACAAAGACTTGGATCTCTCCCAACAGCAAGTCAGTCTCCCATATCATGGAACAGTACGAGCTAGATGCCGCGCACAAGTTTTCCGAGAAACAAATCCAGAAATTTCGAGAAGATCCAATAAAATACACAAAGTTTCTTAAGGCTATTGAATCCTTATCTAACAAAAGATTCAAGACGGTATGTGCTTTCCCAAAACTATCGATCAAATAAATGCTGACCTAAATCATAGATCCTAAGAGGCAGCCCCGAAGCACTAGAAGCCAAACGCGTCATCTCTCTCTACATGGCCGAAGCCCTCAACTACGATAAACATCTCCTTGAAGCCCTGCTTCCCGATTTTCCTGTCGGCTGCAGAAGAGTTACACCCGGTGTCGGCTATCTGAAAGCTTTAACACAGCCAAATGTCGACGTCATCACATCGGGCATCGAAGAAATACAACCTAACGGCATCAAGCTTACAAACGGTGAAATCATAGAGGTTGATGCAATAGTTTGTGCTACGGGTTTCAATTGCTCTTTTGTGCCACGTTTTCCCATCATTGGAGAGAATGGAAACTTACAGGATTTGTGGAGGGACAATCCGGGTCAGGCGTATATGTCATGCATGGTTCCTGGAATGCCAAATTATATCAGTAAGTCCTTCACATTTGTTCCCCTCTTGTCTACAAACTAACACCACCCAGCATTCCTCGGTCCCAACGGCCCACTAGCACACGGTGCCATTCCCATAATAACGGAACAACTCAGCGCTTTTGCTCTAAAATTCATCCAGAAATGTCAACTCCAGTCAATTTCTTCCTTCAGACCTCTGCCCGCAGCAGTACAAGACTACGCAGAACATATAGCACAATTCATGCCTCGAACGGTATGGACAGATAAGGGAGTAAGAAGTTGGTATCGCAATGGAAAAAGTGAGGGACCGGTTTTGGCGCTGCATCCGGGAAGTCAGGCCCACTTCTTCCATATGTTGGAGGCGCCTCGGTGGGAGGATTTTGAATGGAGGAGAAAGAACGATGAAAGTGACAATAGGTTCAGATATCTGGGAAATGGATTTTCGGCTAAAGAAAGTGAGATGGGAGGCGATGATACGTGGTATTGGGGAGAAGCGGATAGAATGTGAAGTTTGAATTAATGATTGGGAAGAGCATTGAGAGAGGGGTATGTTATGACTATCTGAATTGCGAATGAAACGGAAGATTCTGGATTTGTTCGGAAATAGCTGGCTATTTGGAACACATGGAAGAGTTTCTGGAGCGAATAAAGCAAATGAGATGCCTTAAGACTGAGATGAATGTGGATGAGATAAAGGATCTGTAATTTGAAAGGATCTTGATTAACTCTTAGATTATTAATTACGCAATGGACTTACTTGACTGTATCTGCATTTTAATTTACCTCGCTGCTGTTGCAACTTCAGGATCTCACTGTGTTCCTTATACAATCTCGAGCGAACTTTATGTACTGCTTTTCAGTCCTCTGACTTCTTTATGGCCCACTAGTCACCGATATATGAGCACCGCTCGTTGATATAAAACCTGATGACCATGTTTACACAGCTTGAGCTCATAAGTACTCAGATAGTGCATTAACATTCACAGATCTCAAGATTCGACAAGGTGACCGCCACATGAACTGTCCCATAGCGTTGAAAGTATAGCAATAACGAGCGGAATTCTGATATTCCAAATTTATGTTGCATTTCTGAATGTTCATCATGGAGAGATCATTTATGGAGATTTAGATTCTCCAGTCTTGTGGAGGCAAAGCTCCCTTAGAACGGAACTTTCCAGCCGTCAACATGATTAAAAATTGTCGAGATTGGTTCTTTGACATCTCAAATATCGTCCAAAACGTTTGATAAACTATCGTCTGAAGTGTCGAGTCTGATGTCCAGATATAGATCCATTTTTGCTGCACACGAAAGCCAAATACTCACTCCAGACACGATTCTGACTTCGGTTGCTACCAGAGTCCATTCAAATCGGCCGAACCATTTATTGAAAGTGAATGAAGCAAAAGAGTAAATGGTACGGCATATTCATGCCATTTCACTATGGCCATTCGCCGCCAATGGATAGTCTGCTATTGAATCACGATAAGGATACGGCTGCGAAATTTGTATAAAGCGCACGACTTTTGCGACCGACTTTCCTCCATTTTTTTCAACTACATAACCAGCAGCATAAAGAGAACAAGGGCGCAAGAAAATACGACAGACCTACCACCATCAAGATATATCATCTTCTTGCTGATCTGAGAAGATACTTGGGCTTGCCAGTCGCAAACTTCTAAACCTATACCGACAAGCACCAGGAATTACCGACTCCATTGTTCGACATCCTAAGCCAGATTAATTTCCTCGGAGAGAAAGCTTCTCTATATTAATTTAGTTCATTTTATACTGATCAACCGATAACCAATAGTGTTACTACACAATGGCTGGTAAACCACTTTCCAGGTTGGGAGGAAAGAAGGATGAAACAACAGCAATACTAATATTTCTGCTAGCACGTTTTGCGAAAATCCATCGTTCGGCGGAGGAGCGTTTCAACACGTTGAGAGGTGAAGGACACACACTTGAAGTCTTGGAATGCCGATTTCAGAGAGAATTACAACTCCATGCGAGCCTTCGTACCAATGCCGCACAAATCTCCAAAGCTGTTCTAAACCTTATTCAACAGGCTCGAGCGACTGAGTTTTCTAGGGCTGATAACTTACCTACTCCGGAGAAGTTACAATTGCCTCGATCTGAGGTTCGATCCACGAGAGCTAGAGCATCTTTATTGACGATTTCCAAGCCTAGATTGATTGTTGAATTGAAGGTCAAGGATGGGTGTTTTGAGCCGACAGTGGTACAATATCCTTCTATTAGTGCCTCTTCGCACACGCCGACAGGATACGTAAAGTGGCAAATCAACAAATCTAGAGCGCCAGTGTCAGCTGAAATACCTACAGTTGTATGTCCCGAGACTTTGGAATATAAGGGTGAAAATCTAGATCGGAATCAGTTGTATTATAATGAGCTTGCGCGTAGGGTGGGTACCAAGGAAGTCATCGAGACACGAATCAGCAATGCATTGAAGCACGGCTCAGATAGAGAGGAAGCAACTAGAAGAGAACATTCATATGCGGAGTCTCAAATTTGCATATTAATTGCAAATTACGAAGCCCGAGAAGAAGAAGAAGAATCGGAAGAGGAATGAACGACTAGCGAGGGTGTTGGTTGTTGTACTTGGTACCTTCTAGGTGGCAGTCTGGGAATGACATAGACAAGTGGACATCAAGACACAGTTTCGTTTGCTTTGGTGGCGTCTGAATTTTTTGTTCAAAACTAATGTTTGAGATTTTGATATACCAGATGTTTGATACCCGTCTTATCATCGAAGGGTGTGGTGGTTTGGGAGGATTTTCAACAGAGAATTGTTTCTAGCATCACGTCATCGTTATAGCACCCTTGTAACAGAAGTTGACATAGAAAACTCCTGTGCCACTTCGAGACTCGATATAGATGACGAGAGCTGAGAAATTCTTCTCAGCCAGGATTCGATCAACGATACACAAGTATAGATCATCAGAATCTCGTATGATATATTCGTTTAAAGTTCGAAAATGCCTCAACGTCGTCATGTGTTGTATGACTTGTGAAACCATTCTTTTCCTTCCGACATGTAAACGTAATTTATGCTTCCACCCCGTGTACAGCATGCTGTGTTTCAACTCTTGAGGTCACATAAATTCCGTTGTTGTGTAACAGAAGACTGATTGTGGGGTTGGATGGCATTCTGCTTTCCCATATTCCAAGATTCAAGTCGAATACTTGGGTAACGCAATTTGAGTGTTGCATCAATACAAGCTTGAAACTTGTAAGAATTGATCAACGATACCTATGTTAGTAATGGATTGCATCCATGATCTGATCTGTGTTAGCTCGGACATCTTGTTTAGGCTTGCGAAATGAAAGCTTCAGAAACAAGGATCATTTTCGCAGACAATATTCGCAATGTCACCAAAGAAGAATCTTCCGAGTATGATTTCTCAATTTTATCAGAAGAGCATCAGAATATGGCAGCTCCAGATAAATGTGCTATTGAAGAACAGCGATGAGGCAGTCATCCACTCTTGACTTTCAGCTTTGGTGTTTCGGGTGCCACAATTCTAACGGCTTGACCGCTTCCAGCTGGACAGATAACTCGTTATATATGATCGGCCTTGGAACCCACTTCTTATGGGAAGGCAATTACCATCCATTGTGTGTCTTATTCATTGGACTCTAGCACCGAGTAATTTCCTATCATACTACGCAGTCCTGAATCGGAAACCTTGCGGTGATTATAGAAATGCACAAACCTTTGCATATACCTGTTCTGACTCATGTGAGAAAAGGGCTGTCAATTTTGATCCATAAAGAGTGTCAAAATCACCGGTGCGAATTGCCGGATTTGAAGATGTGAAGTTAGACGATTTGTGATTCCCTATCGACAGCCGTCATCCGAGAATCTTGTGAAACAGAATGAAGTAGATCGTCAAAACTAGAGAAGTGCTCAGTGCGAAGTGATATTAGCACCATATACATGCGTGCAGTGCTGGCTAGAGATATAGGTTGTGAATATCGATATGATGGTAAATTTTGACAGGGCTTTGTCAGAAAGAGTTCCGCCGATTTTTCTAAAGAACTTATGTGGAATATCCTTGATAAAACGGAGCTCATGATTAACATATTGTGCTTACCTATCATGCTCTGACCTGAAGGGAAGGGGCTCATGGATTTGGTGAATGTGCTTGATGGGTGAGATCTAAAGCACCTCGAATGTCTCAGGCTTCCATAATATACAACTTCGATCAAGTGATCTAATTGTTGTTTTCATACATATCTTCTCGAGGTTTGCGACCATAAATCTGTGTTGTCTCCTTGTGTCGAGGAGTGAAGTTTGCGTTTGAGCATGGGCCGAGATAGTTCCCGTCGCTTACTAATTCTCAGCACGCGCTAAAAAATTAGGGTCTCCTCGATTCGTTCAGGTATGCTCGCGAAACCCTACAGGGCTGAAAGGAACGTGCATACACTCTGCATGGGAGATTTGTTGGATCGCACTTCAAAATGATGAGTTCCGATCCTATTGAACGTGAATCCATCCAGTCGCGGCTCATTTTCACAACATTTACCCTGGAAGAACCGTTGGCTTTCGCATGGGGCAGTGAAGTTTGGGCCTGACCCAGGCTTGTCAGATAATAGACCACATCTGCATTTTCACCAACAATCCTACACGCCTAGGCGTTTATTATTCTCGTTTTCAATAGCAAAATATCTTGCAACTCACTGAGCCTCACCATTCAAAGGACCATCTAGGACCAATTACGGAATCCTTGTGGCCTATAGTGGTACAATGTAATAAATAATGACCTAGCCAGTGGCATTGCCTTGCTTGCCAATGTGAAAACGGCGACCTATCCCAACAAGACATAAGCCGACGTTATTTGTTGGGATAAGACACTACATTTCCTTCTACTCTTTCTGGTGCGTGGCTTTTTACTTTTATTTAGTTGCTGCAACCAACGCAAGCTGAAGTAAAGAAATCAGCGCAAAATGGAGCGATCGTACAGAGTAGGTTCCCTATTAGTATTGCCGCAAGATATACTAACGATGATCAGAACGCTATTACACTACTTGAGAGCAGAAAAGACCGTGTTAAGCCTAACAGGCATAGCAGAGCCTCTCAATTACTCAGGAAAACAGGTTGTGGTAGTAGTGATGGAGAAGATTCTTCCGCCGAGCCAAAGAAAAACAGGCTCAGTACATTGGGAGGTAATCCAACTAAGCCCGGCAATGATGTTATGAATGAGTGGCTTGAGGCACTTGGATATACTGTGAGTAATCTCTTCCAATACTGGAATATTTTCTGACTGTCGCTCTAGCACAGAGAATTTAACGTAATTCACATTGCTGGAACAAAGGGCAAAGCATCCACTTGCATGTTCGTGAAATCTTTCCTCTCATCCTACGCTTCTAGAACAGGTGTATTGAGAAAAATTGGTCTTTACACCAATCCTTACTCTCCCAACATCCGCGAGCCAATCAAGATCAACGCAAAGCCAGTATCAGAAGATAAATTTGCTAGATATTTTTTCCAAGTATGGGAAATTCTTTCAAGCGAATTTGCCGAAACAATGATGCCAGATTTCATGCAATTGAGGTTGTTGGTCGCTATCTATACATTCATGGGTGAGGACGTTGATGTGGTCATTATGGAAACTCATTGTGGAGGAGAAACCGACGCTACAAATTTTGTCAAGCCAACAGCTGTGGGCATCGCGCAAATCAACGCAGATTATATTGAAGAAGGCGGTCCTTCTTCTGAGGACTTAGCTTGGCATGCAGGAGGCGTTATGAAAATTGATGCTCCTGCATTTTCAATTCCTCAAGGTCCTGAGATAGAAAAAGTTCTCGAGACACGTGCTAACGAAAAAGGCGCTGCGTTGAACTTTGTGAAAGAGGATCATCGTCTCCCGATCACCGCCCATGCACTCAAAACCGACATCAAAAGATCCGAATGTTCCCTTGCCCTCGCGCTCACAGATGCATATCTCCTATCTCTCTATAGCGAAAAATATCCACCTCTTTCTTCTGAAGACATATCTATCGGACTCGATCGATTTTTCTGGCCCGGCAGATTTCAAAGATTAGAAGTAGGACAAAACTCCTGGTTCCTCGATGGTGCGCATCATTTCCAAACGATCCCCAAAGCTGCAGAATGGTTTGCAATGAGTGTTTGTGAAGAAGCAACGCTTTCTCCCTTCTCGTATGCGATCAGAAGGTTGAAACAAACAGTTTTTAATTGTGAGGAGAAAGGAAATTCAAAGGTAGTTGTTTTCGGACATCGGGCAAGAGGAGATGGGGAGAAAGTTGTGGAGAGTCTTGCAAAGGCCTTGGAGAAGCACAGGTGTAAAGTTAAACATGTCATTTTTACAACTGACTGGGATGATAGTAAGTACTCCTCTTTCTCATCACTTCCTAACCCCTTATTCTTCATGGCTTTTCTCACATGCAATCAATACTAACACACTCTACCCACAGCCTCGAAAATCACAGACTCAGACATCTCCGCCATGCGCTCCTATGCCCAAACATGGCAAAAACTGTCTCCAAACTCCAGTATTCTCCTCGAGCCAAACAATGCAGCTGCAATCGACTTAGCCACAAAGATTGGCTATCAAAACCATGCTATGGAATGTTTAGTCACAGGAAGTTTGTATTTAACGGGAAGTGCATTGAGACATTTAGATCCTACCGCGGAAAAAGTGTAAGAGAAAAGAATGAATAATAATACTAGAAATTGTTAATCCTACGGTCCGCATTAATGAGATAGATAGGAGTAATAGTAATTCTTTAGGCGATGAAATCAAACTATATATCTATGATTGATTCCGTATATGAGATGTCAAGTTCTGTGATCATGATCACTGTCTCTAATATCTTCTATTTCCACTCTTAACAGAGATTTAACATCAAAATCCCAAATAACCGCCACAAGTCAAAGAGATCCTAGCTTCCTCCACCCCAGAAAAACAAGTCTCTGATCACTTCACCAGATAAGAGACCATAAAAAATTCCACACAAATCTCACAGCACATTTTAACAACACTGTGAATGACTTCCAAAAATTCTCGTTGATGTCATGTATACCATTCTACTTCAAAACCACTGAGGACAATATAAAGAAATCTCCATCTCCAAATCCCCACCCCTATATCCCCAATTACGTCCCCTCACACCAATAATCTCAGCCCCTTCTAATTTTCGTTATCGGCATCATACGGATCAGGGTTGATTGTATCCTTCCTATTTGACTTTTTTACTTGTTTTACAAGTGTGCTAGCTCGATATGATGCTGTTTCGGACTTTACTGGTTTAGGTACTGTCGATGACGACTTTTTCACAGCCATCTTTTTTGGAGCAGAACCTCGAGGTTGGGATGGGGGTTCCGAGTGCGAGCTTTGTGCTGCAGAAGAATCACCAGATTTCTTAGAATGTACCATTTTGAATATGAATCGGTGTGATTGATGAGAAGTTTGAACGATGTACTCTCTATGTCGAAACTTCTAAAGTTGATACGTAAATGCAAGTAAGATATCGATTATTGAATATAGTGTGTGTTAAATGTGATGTGAAATGACTGACAATTCCCTTCTTTTACATATCTTATATAACCTATAAACTATTGAAAAAATTAGTTTCCAACATCAGGTTGCCACTGTTTGAGGACATGAACGATGGTATCCAGTAATTCTGGAGATTTTTTCTAGAAGACCTGGTCACGTCGGCACGGGCTGGTCTCCCAAGCCTTCGGTAAGATAGTGGGTATAAACACTAACAAGTCTGCACATGCGTACTATACAATGGTTTTGAAAATCACCCTCTTGACGTCAAATATTCAACTGTTCTGTGTGGATAGGTGCTGATTTAAATGAAAAGTATGTAAATTTGATGGTGTTGATGGCATTATGGTTACGATTTCTACTATCGGTATCGGCCACGGATCGATTTCGTGAAAGTGGATTTGTTAGGTCATTGTCGAGATTCGATGTTATTAATTTTTCGATTAAACTTACAAACCTCTGCTTTAGGGAAATACGATTTTCTCACCAGCTTAATGAGAACACTAGCCCTCAATCAATTTACTCCCTCGACTCTCTATCCATCCTCCTTCTCCTTTCTTTCTTCCTCTGCCTTTCTGTGCCCGCTTTTCCATCCCACAACCCTTTTCTTCCACTAACTAACAGTATCTCCTCCTTCCACGTCTTATCCTTGAACTTCCACTTGATCTGAAAGGTTTTCTTCTTCATCTTCATCTTGACCCTTCGTAAGTTACTCGAAAACATATCGTCAAATGTAGGGAAAAGCTTACGAATACCTCGTTCCTTCTTTGCCGAATCCGAAATAATCTCAACCTTGACTGCATCCGCTGCTTTTCCTATTCCAATCGATGCTATCGTCTCATGTGTGTAGATCCTGAGACCTACAACACATGATGTATTCCAAGCATCTGGGACCGTTTCTGCTTTGTCATTAGAAATGGGAAGAGCGGGTGTTAGGAGCGGGGTTGGAGGAGGTGTAAGTGTAGAAGGTGTGGTAAGAGAAACCCTCTTATCCTTCTTCGGAAAATTCTTCTGGATCACGCCTTTAGCGTGGGCCATATCATGCTTTAAACCAATTTGGATCAGTTTATCTCTTCTATCAAGCCAATTATCTTTGACAACGTCTTCGATCTTCGGAAGTGTATCATCGCGATATCCGGTTATTTGAAGATAAACTTCATAAGTATCTGCTTCGAGAAAAATTTCAGTCGTAGCGGAACGATCACCACTAGAGTAGCCGCGAATTATGTGAGAGTCTTGGCCTGGTTTATGGAGGCGAAAAGAGAGGGAGTAAGTATATTGACCCGTAAGACCACCAAAGTAACGAGTGTCAAGTTGTGAGAGAACTATCACTGTTGTGGTTGGGACTGGAATGGTAAAGTGGAATGAGGTTTCATTGTAACTACAGAGTCAGCACGATAATACTTATATGAATCAGAAGAGAATACGGGGTACGACAATTGGATCACTCACTCTCCGGACCAAGGTACGTTGACAGTAGTCCAATGCTGGGCAACATGCCAATTGAACCAATCACAATGAAATATTCTCGTTCTCCAGATCTCATCATATCGATCGAGAAAATCTTCATAAGGCATCCAGAAGATACCTTCATTCCCAAACTTATGATTAAGTGCGTGAAGTGCTTCTGGAGTCCATTCTTTAGACCCATCTGACCATGGGCCATTCCATTCAGTCTCACCCCAAGGATTTTTCACGAGGCAAAGACGATTTTCTTGATATTCAACCGCTCGAAGAACAGAGTAAGCATGGTCATCCTCGATACCTTGCCTTCCAAGTTGATACGGATCAGGGTGATTATAATCCCTTGTGCCAGTATTGAATATGAAATCTTTGCCGACTTTCAAAAGACCTTCAGTCCAGAACGAATCTTTATCAAGTATGTCGGCGGTGAGAAATTGGGTAGCAACACCACCGGTAAGATCTTCGACACCCTCACTATTGATTGATCAGTATCATATTTATAGAATAAGTGCAGTAACGTAGTGCTCACCCAGGCCAACCCCCACTGATTGAATCATAATCGCCATGGATTTTGGCAAATGCTTTCTCAATGAGTGGTACCCAGGTTTCGTTTGGATCAGCACAAGAACCAAAAAATAATGCATCCGAGCCGGTTTGGAAAGTATTTTTATAGTCCGCACGAGAAGCTTCCGGGTCGAGTCTTCCATGAGAACGGTCCCACACCAATCTTCTATTATCATTGCAATCATCGTAATCGGGATTGGCAAGGTAAAGTTTATCATCAACGATCTCTGACACCCATTCTCCATCACGATAGAACACAAATCCATACACTCCAACTTCTTCGTTTCGTGCCTTTTTCGGGCAGAGTTTGTCGATAAGTCGTGGAAATGCTTCGTCCACAGTGAGACATCCCAGAGAAGATATGAACCAACAGTCTCCTTCTGATCCTTGTCGTATATCTTGCACATGGGCTTCATGACCAATGAAGAATTGCGGGTCATCGAATATCTCACTTATTCTCTTTACACAAGCAGGCTCTTGCACTTGAGTCGCGGTCAGATTGAAGGTTTCTGTTCGTGTAATAGCTGACCTTGTAGTCATGGGTTTCTTCGAAGATCTTAATCTTGTATGTTCTCCTTCATTCACTATGTCTGTTTCGTTAACTGTAAGAGGCTTGAGACAATATTCCATATTATCGAGATTAAATTCGTTGTCACTGTATTTAGTGTTATTGCGTTGGCATTCTGCTACAATGGCTGCAACCTTGGCTTCGCATTGTTTCACAGCTACCTCGTACGAGATATTGACGCTGGATCCAGAGACTATACTGCTTGGTTTATTTTCACCAATCAGACGTTCGTATACATGTTTAGGAAGAGCATTGGGAGCTGGGAGTGGTCAATTAGCAAGATATACATGCTTTCTGAATAGGACAACGTTAAGCTTACGTCGAGTGATTGTTTCATCAGATGAGAGTTTGTTGTCCCAGAAGATATCGAGAGTCTTTTGGGTGGATGAGGCTGAAGTTGCAACTGTCATGATTTTTCTGACTTTTTTCTGTGGGAGGATGATGGTGTATGATTAGGTCGGATTTGAGTAATTTTGTAAATGATGTGTAATAATGATTTTACTATCCAATACAAATAGGGTGTCATAAGAATGGTATATAGGACTTGTGAATGAGATGATGAGGAAATAAGGCTTTTGTACAAATAAGAACTCATCGCTGTGAATCCGATCGCTCTTGCAAATGTTTTGTGTTGTGATGATTTGTCCCTTCCCTTTTCTACAAACTAGGTACTATTTGCAATTGGTACCCTTTCATTCATTCTGTCGCCAATACTGCTGCAATTCCATCCCTAAACAAAGTTCTTGCATACCATCTATGAAATGCAAATGCCCAATCTGGAAATGGTCTTTTGTTAATGGTTGGATTGCATGATACACTGGAATACCAAATTGTAGCTCCGTCCCTTTCATGAATGAGCTCAAAACTATGCATGCCCGAAAATTGTTTCCGGTCATCTCCATATCCAATTTCAACGCAACTGGGACAGTCTCGTGGTTTAATATTCTCTGTTTTGGTGAATAGAACCATAAAATTACCGCCAAACAGAGGAGAATATTTTGGGGGTAGTGTTTTGTCGGATAATGACTCTAATTCCAATATTGGTCCTGGAGATATTCCTGTGTCTTCGTTTGAGCATTATTCTTGATGGAAGATTACAGACAATACTGACTTGAATACCCACAAGGTATAAACTTCATACCAAGGGATCGCAATGATGCTATGAGGTATCTTTCGGGGGTAAAAGTCCAACCTGCGAAGAATCCATGGGTGAATGTTGCCAAAATTTCTTCATCACTCCTATTTCGAATGTCGGCTTTAGATAATCGAATTTTGTAAGAATCTGCAATACTGATATGGTTTCTTGGATTAATTATCGAAGAAAATGATTGTGAGCTGCTTGTAAAGGAGGGCGATAATTGTTGATATGATATTATGCTGGCCGTCCTTGCAGCCGACAGTGGGCGATGTTGAAGATATATAGTGATACCCAACCCGACAACAGCGGTAGGCACAAGCAATTTCGAAACAGTGAACATGGAAAGAGACATTTTATTCTTTTTGGGGGAGAGGGAGGAGTTGAATGTCTATAATGATAAAGGTCGAAGACTTAATTTGTACAGACTTCTGACAAATAGGACAAGAGGAATAATGACTCACGATGTCTTCGTAGTTCCGTTCTCACCCGTGTTAAGAGGTGGAATTCCGCAACTTCCACAATTTCTCTTCGAGAATCTCTTGGGAATGAACCAGAAAATGCTGATGCTTCAAGATATTGATGGAAGAAGAAACATCCCCCTTATCTCCTGACCTTCCTCTGCTAGAAAGGAGTAAAATAATACTCAAGATTGTTTTCTCTCAGGTGCGCGCAAGTTGCTACACGATTCGCGGATAAGGTGCTAGCGCCGCTTGCTCGCGTGTGGCGTGGCTGCGGTTGTGGCTCAAGAATGTTCGGTGAAACATTACTGTCCTGGTATTATTATTCTTCGGACGATACAGTGTTGATGTTTGGACCCATGAGACAATCACAAACTCTCTCCGAGTGTTACCAGCCTCGATTGCATTATGGACAGGAATCGATCAATGGTGTCATCAAGATTTACGAAGACAACATTCAAACTCTAACTTGATGCCCGGTCTTATCGCAAATGGATTGCAGCTCTCAGAGTAAGCTAGCTACCTACGTCCGGTGAGGGAAAACGCCCTTTCACTTGGTTCGAAATAACTCACCCAGTGCTCCTTTCGGTATCTTATTTTGGTATGCTTCACGCAAAGCTCGATTGTCTCAACCATCATGATTTTGACGCGCGGCCCTATCACGAATATCCTGATCGTACCATTACCG